CCGCACCCTACCAGTACAGCCTCAGATCCTGGGAGCATGATGGTCCGTAGTTGAGTTCGGGTAACGTTTGCATGCTCCTGATGTGAGATTTGGCATTCACTCAAGTCACCTCTGACAAGAGCAGTTAATTGATGCAATGGTGGTACCTCATCCGCCAAACATCATGGAAGGATGAGAAGATGTGGGGGAGTAGAGTAGGCATGGCTCCGGATACAATGTTCTTCAATGGTCCCGACCGTTGTGCCCCCAACCCCCTCTAAAACTAAGGACGGCAGCTGTTATGGACATATGGACAAGCCCACAGGCATCGGCCCAAAGCCATCACACCATCGCGGAGCCATTCTCGACCCACGTCGGATCCGTGGTCCGCGCCGCGCTGGGCTATCTAGGGCGATTCAGCCCCGCTGTTAAGACAACAGAGAGCGAAATCGAGCTACTCCAACAGCGGCTTCAGGGCTGTGGCTTTTTCATGGGGCAGGTACAGTTGGAGCAGCTGCAATACGATGGCATTCGGTGGATCATGGAACGCGAGCAGTCGGCTGGATGGAAGGGCGGAATTCTCGCAGACGAGATGGGATTGGGCAAGACGGTGCAAATGCTGTGTGCAATTGCTACGAACAAAGTCCCCACGCTTGTCGTCTGTCCCCTATCCGCCTTTGAGTCGTGGAAGGAGGATGTGCGCAAATTTTTCGCGCCCGGGACCTTTGCGCTCACCGACTTCCACCACTTGAAGAAGTTGCCACATCCTTTGCCTTCAAACTCGTTAACCTTGGTGCCTTAGCAAGTATCGGAGCTTGGAACTCCTGTCCGATCCAGAATCTCAAAGCAAGCTTCCGCAGCCTTCAGGTGAACCCTGAACTGCTGGGACGCGATGTTTGGGCCAAGCCGCCTGAAGCAAAGGCAGGACGTGAACAAAAACATGGGCAGCTTCTGTCCTTCGGAAGGGTTGTAGTGATTGTAGTGATTTAGTAAACATCTCTTGCAAGCTGCTTGTTTACATGAAGTTGATAGTCGCTGTGTAAGGCAAGATTGGGCCCCTTCTCTGCAGGCTGCACGAGAGGTGAACTTGAAGTCGAAGCTGCTGAACGCACCTTTTCAGCGAATCATCTGTGACGAGGCTGGCGATTACGACAAATCAAAGGGTTGCCGTTTCCGACTCTAGAGTTCTATCGCTTTTCCTCAGCTTCGCTTATGACGACGTGGTTGGGCCCCTGCTAGGCACAGTTCCTGAAGAATCTGATGTCACCAAAGGGTCAGAACATCAATGCCAAAGCGTGCGATTGCGTTGCAGCCAATGCCAGCATTCGCTGGTGCATGACTGGGACACCCATCGAGAACGGCATCAAGGACTATCTGTCCCTGCTAACGTTTCTCAAAGCCGAGCCCTTCTGCCGTCCGGACTGGTTCCACGATCACGTAGAAAGACACTTGACTCGAATTGTTCAGTTCGTGCCATCGATAGCACGCAGATCTCGGATCCAGCTTGTCAGCCCCAAGCTCCTTGCCGTGGCCGCGTGAGATGAATGAATAGTTGAGTGCACAGGCGTCATCCGGCGTCAACATGAACACTGAGGACATGCGGGAACTGAGTTCGTTCAAGACCCGCTCTTCGCAGAGTGCTTCCGCGAGACCGTCCTGCGACGCAGCAAGGTGGCTTTAAACATGTTTTGTGTAATCCCGAGCTAAAGAGAGTGCAGAAGACAGGCGTCACTGCAGAACCTGCCAGAGACCCACTTCCACTTGCTTGCATCTTGGCGCCGACTGATGGCAGCTGGACACAATCGACACCAAAATCGTGCCGCAGCACTTTGCCAAGTCGTGTGTTGTAGGCTCACACAGAAAGCTGGAAAGCTGGACTGGTATTTGCGAGTAGACAGGACTCCAAAGCCCAGCAAAGTGCATGCTGCACACGCTCGTCAGGTCTGCCGAAGGAATTTAGTGCATGTTCGCCCCAAGGAAAGCTCAATGGACCCAACAGAGAAGGAGCAGGAGATGGCATTGCTGGATGAGGATTGACGGCAGCGACACTTCCTGTGATTCAAGCACGTACAAGAGCAGTGCAAGCAGGAGGAGTCGGGGTTGGTTCGTCAGTTGCGCTCGGGCCAAGCTGCCGGCTCGCTGGCCATGCCTCGTTCCAGTGTGCAGGCGCGAAGGGGCACGACACGTGTAGCCCTGAGGTTTAGCAGGCGAAGCGGACCGAAGAATGCTCAGCCTGTCGACTGCTCTAAGTGAGGAGGCTTCGTTGTATGCTCAGGACCTCCAGGCGATCCAGGCGCTCTCGCTCAACGAGCTTAAAGACCGGGCACGGAAGCCTCGCGAGCTTGGTGGTTTGGGCCAGGAGCTGCGGCCACCGTCGAAGGAGGAGGAGGCGCAGGGACCTTGCAAAAAGCCGAGTCTGACGGAAATCTCGGAGTTGTGCTCCAGATCAGATCCTATTCCCTTCGGGAAGGCTCAGCGGCAATGGTGCCTGAGCAAGTTCTGCTTCGAGAGAGCCTGGATCGAAGCCGACAAGGAGAAGCTCTTGAAGTCGAGCAAATGGACATTACTCGAAAACACTTTGCGCAAGATCTGGAATGCCCGGGTCAAAGCTGCAGAGCTGGATCCTCTGCCTGCACGTGTTTGTTGTTGCTTCAGATTTGCCCTTCATCGTTGGCAGGATTGTGTACGACTGGGGTCACGGAGCTGTAATATGGTTTCGGGATTTTTTGGCTTGGGANNGTGTGGGGCAAGGCCTTGCGTAAGTCCCGGGACGGGATTTGATAATGGCTTGGCCAGCCAGCTTTGCCCTGGATCCAGTTTAGGAAGATGAACGCATCCGGCTCTAAACGGCTGGAGGCGCTTTTAATTCAAAGCCAAGGAATGTGCCTGGAGACGCGACGAGAAGCAGTTTTCGGATCCTTGGCGCTCAGATGCAGTGTACTGGACAAAGCTGGACACCCATGAGACTCTCGGCGAATGGTAGGTAGAGGCCCAAGCTTGAGTAGTAGGAATAGGGTCGTTTACGAATCAGCTGGAACGTCAGCTCGTAAAGGACTGTGCTTCAAGAGTTGTGCAGCAACGGAGGAACACGAAAGTGGTGCTTATCTCGCGGTTTTCCAGTCGCAGCTTCGAATTGGCGGCGAAGATGATGAGCAAGCTGAACATTAGGTCATTCTGCGGCAGTTCTCCACGGGGTCTTGTCTTTGAAGGCTTTGGCTGGTGTAGGCAAGGTGAAGTCTCTAGATGTCTCTAGCTTCGCATGAAGCAAGCATGAATGAAGTCCAGGCTAGGGAAGGCTCCGAAGGCATCCTTTAATAGGCTCGTTCGAAAAAGCTCGAGGTATTGCAAGATCGACCAGTCTGTTGCGCCGGAAGATCGTGGCAAAATTATCGACAGCTTCAACAATGACCCAGCTGTAAAGGTCATGCTTCTGGGCATGAAGTGCGGAGGGTCAGGCCGGATTGTGCACTTTCCGGCTACATGGGACGACTGACAGCAGTGCTGGCCGGAATACTGCCTGGTTTCAAACAGACTTCTGTGACAAGAGCATGATGGATGGAAGTATGTGCCTGTCGTCGTAACTGCCAAGCCTGTAGCTCTTGCCGGGTAACTTCCTTCGGGTTCTGATCGTCCGGATCTGTCGCAGGTATCAACCTTCCGGGCGCACAGGTGGCGATTCTGATGGATTCGTGGTGGACTCCCGCGAGCCCTGGCGAAAGAGAGCAGGTCCAAAAGACCTTGTCAGTGTGGCTTTTCTTTTCGGTCATTTCTATCAGACTCCTGGGTTATCTCAGGGCGGAGCAGCAGGCCATCAACCGCATTCATCGCTTGAACTCGGCGCACAAGTATGTCTACTTCGTCAAGCTCTTCTCTCGCAATAACGACACCGAACAAAGGCGCTTCGCATGCCAGAGGTGTCACGTGGACCGTCTCAGCGCACGCGGTAGACGGCAACCGAAACAGAAGGGAAGCTTTGAGGGCATAAAAGGCTTGAGCCATGCGCTTTCGTCATGCACAGGCAGTCCGAGATCCACCAGCAGAAGCTACGCGTTTGCGAGCAGACTCTCGGGCCCGTCACCGTCTCTTGAGCGGCCCCAGGGGCCACAGCAGTGACCACAGGTCAGCCGCAGATGCCCTGACAGCCGTCCAAGACTCCTCTCGGGGAGTACTATTGTTGCCTCAAAGGTTAATGAAGCTATAAGAGATCTGGAGAACTTTTTCCTGCCTGCGAGCGATAGCCTCAGCCTAGGCATCCGTTACTTTTGCAGCTGCAGATCTCTTAGTCGGCCAAACTTATGATGGTCCTGCAACAACTGCAAGGACCATCGGTGCGGGCGTGTCCCGTCATTCGTTCAGGCTAATGAGCAGCGATTCATGTGGCGATCCGGAAGAGATGCGCGAGCTGAAAACACATCAGTTTTTCTTGTTGCGTTGTTTTGTGATGGCGACAGACTTTGAAGCAGGGTGTTGGCACAGTGTATGGCCCTTCTGAAGGTGGTACAGGCCCTTCTTCCACTGAGTTTTGATTTGGCTTTGTGGAGTATAAAACGACCAAAAAGCCGCGCTCCAGAAGTTTCTGCATCCACAGTTAAGCACTACAGCAGCGGACTTCGGCCGTCCGGGCAGTGCAGTGAGACAAAGAACATCCCATTAAGAAAGGTCGTGCATGTCGGAAACCAGTCAGGATAGCGGCCGGCCACTGGGTGATGACAGGCTTAACAGGCTTAACAACGGCTGAAGATATAGGAAATGCCCAAACCAAGATGCTGCTGCAGGTGTCGTCGTCGTCGTGGTGGTGGTTGTGGTTCTGGTCATCGTCGTCGTTGTCGTTGCGGTTGTTGTTCCTGTTGTGGTTGTTGTCGTCGTCGGCGGCGGCGGTTGTTGTTTCGCCATCCGCTTGATCAAACATTCTGGCTTTTGGGGATGTGGCAAGTCGCAGGAAGTTGTAGGCCAGATTGCAGTTCCATCAAATCTTTCTTTTTAGGAAGACTTACTTCTGCCGGAAGGAAGCCATTGTCATGTCTCGTACGCAGTATGTCTAGCCGAGGGGAATAATAAGTGCAATTCCAGCCATGCATTGATTGCTTGCCACTGCGCTAGCGCTGGCTTTGCAGAAGGACCATCTTCTCATAATGAGCTCAGGTTAGAGAAGGCCAAGTGTAGGCATCATGCTGCAGGAGATGGGGGATGAGGCCCCTTTGCAGAAGCTGGACACCGCCCAGCTCCAGGCATGTGGAACGGCAGCTCTGCTTTTAAAAAAGAAGGTTGCGCATGGAGACGATGTGCTCCGACCTGAAGCCGACCTCTCGCATTTGGGGCTCAAACGTGGCTGCGTAGGTCACCGTAATCACCGTGCTACTAGTAGAGATGTCAGTCTTTTCTCTGCTTCGGGTCCAAAAGCAACTTAACCCAGTCCTAGCATCCGAAAGAATCAGGTCATTGTTTGAGCCTGCGCCCAGCATGCTTCAATGGACTTGGCCAAAACTGCAGCCCAAATCCGACCACTTCGAGGGTACGGTTTGCTGTGTTGCCCGACGTAGAGACTCTTCGACACTGGTCATCAACTTGCAGAAGCCTTGCACGAATCATGAGCCGTGCCAGGGATGATGCGACCCCGCTTCTGCCACGCGAGCTAGCCAAAGCCTTACCATATTATGCCCTAGGTTGCAATAGCATGTTGCACCGCTGTCGAGGAAGCCACAGCTCTTTCCTTGCCTCAGAGCAATGACACCCGAGGAGCTTATTGCCATTTGCAACAGGCTTGTTCACGGACAAGTGGTGGCAACGGCCTCGTTTTTTCAACAGCTTCATACGTGCTCGGCAGTGAAACCGTCGACACCAGTTTGTTGGACGATTTTGTGTCGTAAGTTGACAGAAGCTTCAGGATGCCTTCCCTGGGGCGCAGCCGACCTCTTTGACAAGCCAGAAAATTTTTGAGCAGTTGCTGAAGGAGTGCTTGCGACACGTTTGAGAGGTTGTAGATACTGGTTTGGGTTTAGACTTGGAAGGAGCCCTACGTGGTTTGTGAGAAAACCGACGGGGAGAGACATCTGCTACTTGCCCACGAAGGACAAACGGTCAGCTTTTAGAGTCGTGTTGCGTCGCACCTACGATGTAGCAACCATTGCTTTAAGGTCCGGCCTCTCAGTCATGTCTGTCGTGCCTGATGTGCTGGTGCCGCAGGACATGTCTACCTTATTGACAGGAAATGCCGTGTTTGGACATGTCGTGTTGTGACCTCAGCCCTGAGGAAGTTCAGAGACTCGGAAGGCTCAAGGACAGATTCAGCCAAACTGCACGCTCAGGAGCAACTTCCATTGCCAGCTGGGCATGATCTGCGTGGAACTAAGGGTGTGGCACATCTGAACCCGCGGTTCAGAGCATAACCCCAGCATGCGAGAGTATGACATCGGCAGTATGAGTCGGACGTCCAAAGACAGTTGCACATAGCTCATTATGGGAAGGTGGTGTCGAGACAGAGAGCCTCCATAATATCATACAGCATCGTCGGTACTTCGAAAACTTGCACAGACGTCGACCCCTCTGCACAGGCAAAATTGTCCCCGGCTGTGAGACAATGCTAAATTCTGTTCTGCTTAGGTCGCCAGGTTGGCATCACAACACCTTGTTGGATGGCGAGCTCGTTCTTGATGTTGTCGAGGAGGCCCCATGGGCCTCATTCGTCGGGTCTGTTTCGATTGCATCGGGCTTCGGCAAGGGTTGACATGCCGAGACCTTGGAGATGCGCGCTTTGTGTTTCTGTCTTCAGGGAAAGACCGCCCTCCGATACCTGGTGTATGACGCGATGCACATCTGCGGCGAGGAGTCTGCTTTTTCGCAGGTTCCTCAGGAATGCTGCGGCAGACAGTCTTACTTTTGGTCGTCCTGATGCAGGACTTGACGCACCGGACGCTGCTGTATCGACTGCAGAAGGCTCTTTCCGAGGTGATTCTTCCGAAGGACCGAGCATATCTTTCCACAGCTGATATCTGCTGATATGTGGGTTGCAGACATGAAGTTGCAGGAGCAACTGTCGGCTCTCCGTGGGTCCACAGACAACGTGCAGCTGATGTTGAAGGCTTGTCTCTGGATAGACTGCCTCCTTCCCCGAGATCTGCGAGTTTGTTTGCTTCAGGGTGTTGTGGATTAGGCTTGGAGCGTGCCGTCAGGGTCTGCCCCGCACAGCTTGTAGCAAAAACTCCTTTGGACGTACAGGCATGCTTAGGGCACCTTTCGCACTTGAATTCCTTTGGACGTACAGGCATGCTTAGGGCACGGTTCGCACTTGAAAATGGGGCCCCGGTGGCCACAGCAGGCAGCCCGAGCTGTAAGGGCCGTTGCATATGGCCTTCATACTGGTGTCGACGGTTCCTGGCAGGACTTCTTTGAGCTGTGGCAGCTCAGCGAAGTCACGGCCATCGGCGGGTGCCTGAGACCACGCGGATCCGCGGTGCTGAGCTCAAGCGGACCCGCCGCTGAGCCTCGGAGCTTCCACACGGAACCGATGGCCTGGTCTTCACGCCAGCTTGGTCCCGAGCGATCTTTTTCTCTCTCTCTCTCTCTCTCGTGATGGTCTTCTGCCGCAGGTCATGGTCCCTTATGTGCCGGGGACGGTCCCAGCCTTGCTCAAATGGAAGCCCGCCGAGATGAACACCGTCGATTTCAAGCTGCAGGCTGCACCGGATGACACCTGCTGAAGCCTGCTGCTAGCTGGTTCTTGCGAGGTCATCCAGGGAGCAGACTCGACACGAAATATGCACGTGCCCACCTCAGACGTCTTCGACACGGCAGGGATCAACGTGTGGGTAGATGTTGATATTGGGCTCTGCGATGTGTGATGCCATTGTGGGAGTGAAGCTCCACAAAGCCGGCGAGCTTCCCCAAGCAGGGCTGGTAGAGTGAGGCCGCAGGTGGTTTTCTGTCCATGAGGGGTGTCCGAAGTTCTCTGAAGCAGGGAAGGCGTACTCTGTGAAGGACTTCATGTGCACCGTCGTATGTTTTTCGCTTGTGGCACGAAGTCGCCCTCGGTGTGGGAGATCAGCTTTACTTGTAGCATTTTGGAGACCTGCGCAAAAGACCAAGACTTCTTGGCGTCACTTGCGGCTGCCCGAACATCTCTGTACTGGTTGCTGTAATCCGCTCACAGATTTTGCCCATCCTGCGTTGGCCTTAGCCAAAGATCAAACCGTCACATCGCACGCTGCCAAGTCCCCCGGTGTCGTGATATGCAGCGTGCAACTGCAAGTACAGGAAGGCACTGATGAGGGAAACACTGGGGACCATCACTGTCTAGAACTTAAGACCCTCCGAGCCACGCGGTCCATGTAAGGTCCACGCCTCGTCCCTTTGCCACCGGAAATGTTCAGGTGAAGTTGCTCGTCGGCTTCAAGCAGAAGGACGCTTGGCAGGCAAGCTGCATGTTGTGCAGCCACCTCGCAGTATTCTCCAACTGCTGTATGATGCCCTGGAGGTGAAGCACACTGGTCATTGGCTGGCAAAGATGGGGGACATGTTCAAAAAGCTGAGGGAGGTGCTTCGAGCCCGTCGGATGTTCGTCTTGTCTATGCACTGGCTATGCCATGGTCACAGCGTGAGCGGGGCAGCCAACAGGATCCTGCTGCCTTCGATGGCAAGATCGCAGAGTGCAAGTGGAATGCATCGGCTAAGACCTTCACACCTTCGGACCAGTTGAAGTCCTTGACTCAGAACAACATGTGTCTTCCGCGTCCATGTTGGAATGGACTTCGATTCAGGTTCACAGTAAATGGCACCTGGGAAGACGGTGGTTGGGTGCTGCAACGTCTTAGAGAGGAGATCTTACACTCACGTTTGGCATGAGTGGCTTGTGCAGATTCACCAGGTCAATCCGATGTCGCATGTAGAGAGTTTGCAGACTTTTTCAATTTGCTGAACCTGCAGCTTCTTGGATCAATTCTATTCTCGGTGCTAGTGGTGGCAGAATGTTCGGGCGCTTTTCATGCTGGTCGCCGCCTCCTGTACGACCACTCTATGACCCAATCGATGAACTGCAGCAGGACCCGCTTCGATCCTTGAATGGTCCAGGTGCTTCACTGCTTGCTTGCCAGGACATAAACCTTCATGACTTGCCAGCACTCCGACAAAGAGGACCAAACTACTACTGGGGCCCCTGGTGACGAAGCTGCATCTTTGTCATCTTTGTCTGTCTTACCGTTGGCCTAGCTGTTGGGCATGAGCGCGTGAGGCTATGCTTAGTAGTGGTCTTTGCCTTCATCTTTGAGTCTGTGGGGCTTCCCACGATGGCGAGCCAGAACTATGACAGCCCTTTCCTGGACATGGTGGTGCTTCCAATTGTGTGGATTGCTGCCTTCGCAGCGGTGTCAGCCTCAATCACCATCCCAAAGCAAACTTCTTCATGGTTCCATTGTAAGGCTTTGGAGGCTTTTGCAACATGCGATGGCTGCAGGTTTTCACGCTGGTCTCCATTGTATTCGGCGACACAGGAGAGATTCGCCGAAGTGAAGCTTCCTGCTATCCAATTCCTGACCGTGCCAGAGCACTGATTTTGTTGGGCAGCAGCAAAACTGAAGACTGCCCCAATATTGCTGGCCTGGATGGCCAGTCGTACTGCATCTCTTCCTTGAATGATGTGGCTCTGTTTTTTTCAGGATGCGCAATGTATACTTCCTTGAAAGGAAATCTCACCCGACCACTACGCTTATTGGAATCTGTGGGTCGCAGACTGGGTAGGTGTTCAGAATTGTCTGTTGCAGCTGTCTTGTTCTTTTTTGGGTGACTTGGGTGTTCCTGGGCGTTAGCGTTATGCTTGCGTTTGGGATTTGTGTTGTTTTTGCGTTTGCCTTTGTTTTGGGTGCATTCGGGACGTGGCGGGTGCGGCGCGGCACGGCGACGCCTGTCGCCGCAATGCGCGAAGCGGGAGCGAGCCGGCGGTGGCGGGGTCGGGGCCGGGGCGGGGCGGGGCGGGCGATTCGTCCCTCTAGGAAAACAAGAATAATGCAAACCGCAAAAGTAACGCAAAATGAGCGATGCAAAAGAACAACCACCATGCATGCAAGTCAGCATTTCTTGATCCGGCTCTGGAAATTCAAGCAGGGAGACCAGCTGCTGCTTGCATAGATTCTTCATCATACTACACACGGCCAGCCTCCATCGTGAAGGGCTTTATTCCTCTGCCGGCCCATGCGCTCACGGCACTTCTTAGGCTCGGCTCTTAAAGGAAGGCTGTTGCCACGCGGAAGGCCATCCAAGAACAGATGCAGATTCGAGCCTCTACAGCCAAGGCTCCAAATCAATAACCTGAGTTCGCAGACCCTCAACCTCAGAAAGACGCCGGAGCCAAGGCACACGCTGCTGCGTCTGGCGTCCAGAGGGCTCCCACCATTGCAGCACCTGCCAGCGCTGTGTGACAGGCCGGGACCCAGGGCAGCCTCTAACTCCAACTGTCGATCATTAGGGTGGCTACGATCAGAGAGGCAAAAGCCGCGCCATACCTAACGTGCATGATTCCGACTCTAATGTCTCTCTAACGTTCTGAATCAGCTCAGCTCAAAATTTGAGTGGGCCTTTGCAAGGGCCTTCAGACCGTTGTTTCAGCTCTCGGGCCTCGCGCCGTGCATGTCAGTCCCCAACTCAGGCTCATCGTTGATGCTTTTGAAGGGGCAGTACATAAATCGAGCTTGTTTGAATTACCCAATCTGCGTCCAGTTTGAATTCTTGTTCCGATGAGTTGGGTAGAAGATCCTCAGACGGCAGGCTTCGATCACCATTGCAGCTTCTTCGGCCGCTGTATCACCAGACGCAACATGTGCAGCTTTCGAACGATCATCGGCCTATTTTTCGTCGGTGCTGCTGCGCAGATGATCACCGTGGCGCCGCTCGGCGACATGACTGCTCTTTGCTCTCTACCGCTTGTGTTTGTGCGGCGTCGGCGCCTGGCACAGGATAACTAACTCAGCTCCGGCGCGATCCCCATCTACGTCACCGTATGCCACAGAAAGCACCGCGATGGAGCCTGTCGCGGGCAGATACTACAACTACAACTGAGGTTGGCCCTGTTGTGCAGAGTGCAGAGTACTCTTCGCCGAACCGCTTTGCAAAGCCTTGAGTGCTGGAGACATTTCATTTCAGTGCTTTCTCTAGTGGAAGATCGGAAGTCGCCCAGCCGGCTCCATGATCTTCCATGCAGCGCCGTTGGTAAAACCAATCGGGAGCCGGGGGAAGGTGTGCGCAAAGTTCGCACAGGTCGGACTCCGGGTGCAGCCAGAAAATTCGCAGATCATGGCTGAAATGAGCAGCATCAGGTCATGATCAGTGTGCGCAGGGCCTTTCTCGAAGCTGCTTGCAACAGTTGGCAGGACAAGAGCTTGCCCAACGATTTGCGGACAGCGAAGCGGGTGGTGGAGTCCATCCAGGACGACTTGAATGAGGAGGACTACTGTGAGCACTATCTTGTCGAGTGTTCTGCTGAAACTTTTACTCTTGTTTCCCAATCAGATCATGGCTCAGGCCGCTTGCTCAGCCGACTTTAGCTAGGAGCTGGCATGGGAAGGTCGCTAGACAGAAACATTCGCGGCCTCCACGCGCCCGAGAAACACCACTGTTTGCTTCTGGCGCGAAGCCGCCTGGACCTGCTCAGCGCGATAGTTTCCGCATGGCGATGCATGGCAGTCAAAGAGGCGCAGGAGATTCGCAAGGCCTATCGCCTGGCTGCAAGTTTGCACTTGAGAAGGCTTCTGCGCTCGTGGCAATCCGTCTCTCGGGTGCGTTCTGTGGCCGATGCTTGCAAGAGACTTCCCGAAGTCCCGCAGCTGATCGTCAAGTACCAGAAGTACCAGCAGCAGCAGATGGCGAAGTTCATTCATCAACGCATGCTTAGGCTCAGGGCTGCATGCATGTCCCGTGCAAATTGGGTTAGATGTATGGCACGAGCAGGCAAGAAGGCTTTGCATGAGTGGCAGCGTGTCAGCCGCATGGCCGCGCTCGAACGGTCAGTCTCGTGCCAGGAGAGGACACACTGGCAAAGCTGGCTCAGGCATGCCTTCGAAAGCTTTGCAGAGGTCGCCGCTTCGGCAAAGGTTGCTCGCAGCAAGGCTCTCGACTTGCAGAAACGATGGCTTGCACGGGTCTTCTTGGCCTTCCAAGAAGCCACAAGATACAGCAAAGCCTTCAGGCATCGATGCAGAGCTGCTCAAGCCACGTTTCGCAAGCGCCAGCTCGGTTCTTGTATGAGTTCCTGGCACTCCTGGAAGCTTTCTCGAAGGCAGCAGCGCCTCATGGACCTCGATGCATTGAGTAATTGGAGGCGCTGCCTCCTGCATCGGGCTTTGGGGAAGCTCTGCAGCTTCACCACGCTGCGAGCAAGGTGTCGTGACTTAGCCACTAAACGCAGGCAGAACGCTGCCTTGGAAGCTTTGAAAAGCCTGCGGCAGACTGTTTTGCTGTCTAGAAGAAGCTGTGCTGCCAAGCTTTTACAACAGGCGTCCGTCCAGCGACACGTGCTTCGACAATGGACGATCTTGCATTTGACGTGTTCGAAGCTGGTTTTGTTGGGTCAAATGAAACAGTTTCGCTTTCGGCAGATACTTTTTAATTGGTGGCGAGGTTGCAACCTCAGCGATATTTTGCGTTGTTGGCATTGGGCTGGGAGGATGGGAGTGAAGGAGCGGCATGCTATCGCTCTGCGCACGCAGTCTTCGTGGCGTTTCATCCAGACGGTGTTGCAGGACTGGCGTGCTTTTGCTAAGTTACTGCGGGAAGAGCAGGGGTATCTACGCCATCGGTGCAATCTCACCCGGCTACGATGCTGCTGGAAGTGTTGGAATAGACGAGTCACTGCGGTGCATCTGATGCAACGGTTTCGTGACAAACAGCGGCTGGTTTCGGCAAGTTCAGTCGTGAAGGGTTGGAGCCGACAAGTCGTTTGCCGGCGGCATACAACCCATCTTGTGCAGAAACGTGGCCTGCGATTGTGCAAGCGAAGTATCAGCTGTTGGCGTGCTCACTGCATGGCCAGACAGGCGGCATCTCGACTACAGAGCCAGGTGGTACTTGCCTGGCTGGATTGGGCAGCCCTGCGCAGACAGGTTCGCGATGACGTGGCTTGGCAGCGGTGGGCAGAGGGTGTGGCAGACATCTTCATCTCGCGACGATTGCTGCGGGGTCTGCCAACATGCTTCAGCACATGGTGCCACTCCGTTCGACAGCAGAGTGCTCTGTATGCCAGAGCCGCAGCTATGCAGACCAATGCATCCAGACAACTTCTTGTGTCTGCTTTCGGCACGCTTCGTTGCATCCTGGCTCTGCGACGTTTGCAGCGTTTCGACTCCGAGAAGTGCCTCAGAGAGCTCCGCGACTGCTTCGTGAATCTGCGCTGGTCGTGCCAGATGTCTGCCAAAGCAGGGACCTTGGAGGCTGCAGGTCACGGCTTTCGCAAAGCACAAGCCGCTCGTCTTAAGCATTGGTACTTGCCGGCTTCCAAATCATGTCGACACCAGCTCAGGCTTTCACGGCTCTTTTGAGGATCTACCAGAGGAGGTGTGGCTTGGGGCTGCTGTTTCATCTTCTGCGGAGTTACTTTCTCCAGCAGGTGCTCTGCCAAGTCCATGGCGGCAGTCATGACTCGCAACTACCTTGGCCGGGGATTTTGCAGACTCAGGACCGGGCTTGAAACTCCTGGATCTTGGCGGGCCTGCCGGCCTCTGATCTGTGCCAGGCAGTTTCAGCACAGAATGGAGGCGATTGAGACTTCTGCAAAGCTGGCTGCTTTGATGCACTTCGATGCGATTCGTGGCTCAGTGGCTCTGCTTCCTTTCTGCTCAACCTGGGTTGAAGGTCGCGCGGCGCCACCGCCTCCTCGCGGCGTTGGCTCGATGGCGGAAGGTAGACTCCAGAGTGCAGTGAAGTGTGAAGCTGCCAGTAAGATGCAGGAGCTGGCAGTGCAGATGCGGAAGACCTGGCTTCCTGCGGTCTTCGTTGAGTGGAGACAGGCGGTCTGAATGCTCCGCATGATTCCCGAGTTTCAAGCCAGTGAACATCTGAGTCCGAGCAGCATGCTGCTGTTGTCAGATCGCTCAACGACAGCGCCTGCGTCGTCTCCGTCAACGGCGGTATGTGCGCCAAAGCCGAACTGTAGAGAAGCGTTTTGTGTCAACATATCACTTTCATGCAGGGCCTGCTGCGCTGGAGGGCTTACGTCAAAGACTGTCGAGCCCTGAGTTCCTTCTTTCATCTTGCTCCTCTGCCACAACCCAAGCTCTACCTCTCTGTATCTTCCGGTGACACGTCCATCCTGCCCTGCCACTTCGCAGTTGTCTTGAGTTTGTTTTCGACCCTCTGCGCGTTGCCGTTCAGTGAACAGGCAGACAGCAGAGCCGGCGCGCCGTCTTAGCAGATCTGCTCCGGCGACGCCGCCAGATGCGAGTTTTCTCCCCAGCTGGTCACTCCGGCGTTTTGTCGGGATGTTAGCTTGTCCTTCGAGGCAGTTCTGCTTCCGTGGCAGCTGGCTGCCTCCAAGGAGGCTGATGTCTTTCGTAGCGATGCGACTGATGCGACCCTTGTGGTCTCTTGGCTTGCCAGGCTGGTCAGCTGCAGGACCGCTGGAGCGAGGCCGACGTCGTTCCAGGCCTCACCAACTGATCACCGACAGTAGGAGCAGGCCCTCGTGAACGCATAAAGCGGGTTTGCAGCACCGCACAGGCTTGCAGCAGTTCGCCTTCATGCGCTACCGGGATGCCACAGACGAGACGTGAACCGACCTTCTGATCGCTGCGGAAGACGGGAGGCAGCTTCACCAGGCTGCTTTGAAGGCGGACCGTAGCAGGCGCTGGGCCGTACCTGCACGATGATCTCGCAGATCGAGCAGACGATGCCGGAGCAATCAGGTGGAGAATCAGGTGGAGTAGGTGGTGGTGACTGCAGAACCAACCGCCGAGATGGTGCTGGGTCGGCTCGTGTGGGCCTCGCGCCCTCATCCTGTTCGCCAACAGAAGATTTCGCCACGCCGCACCGGACGCCACGGACGGCATCCAGCTGGGAAATCAGAACTCCGAGATGGCGGAGGAGATCTGTATCAACTTGGACAGTTTCTAGAACTCTCGCGAAAAGGTCTCACTGGTTCTTCTGTGAGGACTTGTAGCTCGAAAGCTGGGTGAGCATAGGGCTCGCAGCTCTCGTCGTACCTGCAGCAAGGCGTGTGCGACCAGTACCAAGAAACATTTCCGTTGCCAGAACATGGTGCCGTCTGGGGGTGCAGGCATGAGGCTTGCTTCACCTCTCATAGGACGGAAGGGGCTGCATAGGAAGTCAGAGGTGTATTAAAGACACCAATCGTATTCAATTCCCATTCCAGGACTGGTGATCCTGTAGAGAGACAGTAGTAATAACAACAATAGTAATGACACCACCACCATGACCGCGGCTACTACCACTCCGACTGCCGTGCATACAGCGCAGGACTTGTTGAGTATCGTCCTCAAGGCGAAGGAAGATGGCAAATTGAAGGACGGCGCTTGGGGATACAGATGCACTTGAGGTTAGGAAGAGCTCTCCGAGCAATGAGAAGAAAGCGAGAGATGAATGGAGATGTGTGCTGAGAGTACCGGCATGGCATGAAACGCAAGAGATGAGAAATGATGGCCCTCCAGCGCCCCGCGAGACATCCACGAGCAGAGGCAACAGGTCCCCGACCGTCCCTCGTGCGTGAGGCTGCTGCCGAATGTGGAACTGGACACCTCGCACGGGTGCGGTGCTTGAGATGTGTGAGGTCTCCCAGCCTTAGGTGTTTAACTGTTTTTTGGATGTCAAGGTCCAGCCGAGTGTCGATGCCCAGGCCCGGAAGAACAGATTAGATCATACAGACGTGTTTCTCACTTCCGCAATGCAGGTCAAAAACTGGGCTGCGGCTGTCGTGGCCTTACTCGTAGGCTTCGACAAGTGAGGGCCCAGAGCTTGTGTAGTTGTCACAGGATCCTCGTTCGTTTCGTCTAAGGCAGACGAGACGCAGCTGGCTCCTAAAGGAGAGCAACAGCTTTGCCCAAGCTAGTTTGATCCCGCCCAAATTCGACAGAAAACAATTGGCAGGAGAAGCCAACGCGAGAAGCCAAGACAAAGGCAACCAGCAGCAGACCAAAGGCAAAGGTAAAGGCAAGGGCAAAGGCAAGGCCAAAGGGAAGAGCAAGGACCCTGCACCAGAAAGCAAGCTAGTTGAAGTTTTAAGCACGCCGAGTTGTGCATCTTTTCCGAAGGACATGGGCAAAGGTGGAAACGCGGCAAGGGAAGAAGGCAGTGACCTTCAATTGCAGTGGATGGGTGCCTGACTCACCACTTGGGTCTCGCTCTCGTGAACAGCGTGCAGGGGCTCCTGCCCCACAGCACCGGCGGTCAGCAGACTCACAGGCCACTGCCAATGTTTAGTGATTGCTCATTGTCTGCAACTGTCCAAGCAAGGGCAATGCGAAGGGCTCCGGCAAAAAGGGCTCCAAGGGCAAGCCGAAGAAGACCAGGCCCCCCTCAGAAGGCTTTGCAGTCAGGAAGGGGCCCATGCTCTTGCTGATGTTGTGTGAACTATATCTCGGGTTGCAGGGAAGTGTTGTTGGTGTTTGCCATTGAGCAGCAGCAGCAGCAGCAGCAGCAGCAGCAGCAGCAGCAGCAGCAGCAGCAGCAGCAGCAGCAGCAGCAGCATCATCCTCGTCATCATCGCCACCATCGTATCATCGCTATCGACACGGCATCATCGCCTCCACCATCGTCATCATCAGTCATGCTTGTTTTCACCATCGCCATCTCCATTGGAACCGTCGTCGTCGTCGTCATCATCATCGCCATCGCCATCATCATCACCAGTCGTCATCATCCTCATCATCACCACTGTCGCCATGGTCACCATCAATGCCGTCATCACCACTATCGTCATCACCCGAGTCATCATCCGTGACGACGGTGGCCACGACGCCGGCGACCTGAACTGCTGCTACTGGTACTGCTACTGCTGCTGATGCTCCACCTCCTCCTACTCCGCGCCCATCCCCCCTAACCCTACCCCTGCACCTGCCACTGCTACTCCTGCTCCCACTCCTCCTACTCCCGCTTCTTTGCTATTGTTGATAACACAAGTGATTGCTACGACGACGACGACGACGACTACTACGGCTACTGCGACGGCGACTGGCGACTGATACTACCGCTAAGGTCATGGCTAGTGCTGGTGCTGCTGCACTGCTGCTGTACCTGCGACGGCTTTGTCATCGCTGCCATGGTCAGGCAGGCCAAGCTGGCTGAAGAAGAGGACCTGAACCTGATGCAGAGCAGCCCCGAGCTTTCTAGCAAGGCCGACGTGTCGGCCGATGAGATGTCAGCATTCGTTTTGTAGGTGGAGCCAACAGCTGGAAGCAGGGCAGGCAGCTTTCCGCTTTCCTACGCTTCTTGTACACGTGACCCTCACCTGTGGCACTGGCAGAGGCTGAAGCGACTTCTCACGCCGAGCCGACTGCAACTTCTGATTCCGAGTTGCTGCCACTGAGCATCTTGGCTGCACGGATCCGCTTGTAGTGGCAGAAGCTACCTAACTGCCGAGAGGCATGGAAGATGCTCCGCCGCCCCCAGGTCCTGCCAGGCAGTGGGTGGTTTCTATGCAGCAAGAGTTTGCAGCCACAGCAGCACGCGCTTGCAAGGGTTCGAACTGTGGCAGAATTGCTGGAGAAGGACTCGGTCGAAACTTGGTCGAATGCCGGTGGGTTTTCGTGAGAAGGACACAGCTTGTTTACAGTCACTTGGGAGGACCCAGAAGATGTTCTCGAGAAGATGACACAAGTGGTGCTCAGGGATCATCTGATGCATGCACGTTTGCGCGCGTGTGTTTGCTTAGATGCCTGCTCGTTTATTTGTCGATTCGTTTTGTGTGTGTGTGTGTGTCTTTGTGTTTACTTGCTTGTGTGTGTGTGTGTTTGTTTGTTTATTTGTTTATTTGTCAGTTTTTTGTGTGTTTGTGTGTTTGTCTGTTTGTCTGTTTGTTTGTTTGTTTGTTTGTTTGTTTGTTTGTTTGTTTGTTTGGCATCAAGAAGGATTCCTTGCTGGGTCATGCTCGGACGCCTTCCTTGTCATTTCCGCCTTCCTTTCCGACACCCAAGTGACAAACATGCAAGACCGGACACCCTAAGCCCCACGTCCTAAGTGCTGACTCCAAAGTGTCATAAATTGTCGCTGTTTCAAGATGAGTGAAGAGGCACACTCACGGCAGATATGTGCACAACGCATGAAGTTCAAAGCTGTCCGTGTGGCTGTTTTTGTGTCTTTTGCTTGCTCTGGTTGGCAGCTGCAATTACGTTCCAAAGCCCCGAGTGAGTGGGAGCATAGGTGGGCATGGGGGCTGCCCATCAATGCCCCTCCGACATTCTACCGTCGAAGCTAGATGCAATCTCGGTTCTGTGCAAGCCTGTCGCTAGAGTGTCGAACGGCAGACTATCAACCGGAAGAACCCCGACCGAAGTTTCATTGCTTTTAGCTCTGGATTCGAGATTGAGATTGCCAAGAGGTGCCGTGAAAGCTGCCATGACTAGCGCGATCCAGTATGCTCTGCAAGCCCTCAGCTCAGTGTCAGGTACGGCTCCAAGCAAAGAAGAGACAAGCATCGTTTGCCAGCTCGCTGCTAAGAGCTGCGCATCTACTATTAATTGTGTCTGTCTGTTGTCCGTTTCTGCATGACACCCCGATCAAGATTATGTTTGAAGAAATCCGAAACTTCAAAAGCTTCCCTACTGTTACGATTCTAAATGTTGTTGGGTTACGTCTCTGCTTTGCCCTTTGCGAAGGCCCTCCCGGGCCTCGAACTCGGGCGCGGACCGCAGCGGATGCAGGCGGTCTCTGTGCTGCGAGACCGGGATAATCGTAATAATCGTAATAATAGTGATAACAGTAATCATAATAATGTAGTAGTGGCAGTGGCAGTGGCAGGGGCAGTGGCAGTGGCAGTGGTGGTGGTGGTGGTGGTGGTAGCATTCACAGTCAGTCGGAGGGCTTTAGGACAGTTGCACCGTCCTGGGAGTGTGAGGTGCAGCTGACATCGAGACCCTTCCATTGCCGCTTTGCTTCAACTAGAATGCTTGTTCGATGCTTGGGCAGCTTGCGTCACGATTCTATCCCTGCTAGCCGGATCAGTAACGACAGCCAATTTGGCATGACAACAGCAAAGACGAAGAGGGCTCCAAGACAGCACTGATCAAGGAAGACGATGACAGATCAAGCAAGTGTCGTGTCGGTCATGCATCGCCAACAAAGCAGAGGTTGCGCCGTAGCGGCCTCAAGCGGAAGCCTCGACTTCCGGGTCTTTCGGATGCCGCCAGTGCTCCAGGTGGGCTTCCGTACTGCATGCGTGCTTGCTGCAGATCGAAATTCGGTGGAGCAATGAATCCAGCATGTCCTTTCATGGCTGCTTGCCGGAATGTGTGTACGTGAAGCTGTGGAAACTGCTCGATGACACCATTCTGTTGCCGCTGCCGTGAGACCCAAAGTTTATTTGGCACTGAAACCAACTTATCCGCTTGGCGAAAGTCACGCATCCCAAGCTCCTCGAACGCACTTAGTTTCAGTCCAAGCTGCAAGCTCTTCTTGATGCAAGGGTTGATGTCAAATTGCGGTTGCGAAGTAAGTGTCGCACAACAGCTCGCGCCGCAGTCCTGGGGCGTCCTACAGCCGATGTCAGAGCTTGCAGCTAGTAAATGTCTAATGCTTTCAACTTGTGAATGCCTGTGACAGGATAATCTCCTACCGGCACTTTCTTCGATGGCCTTCTGCACACGATGAGCTGCAGCTTGCATACGTATTGGGTGTTTGACGCAACTTCTCTGGTCAAAGCCGTTTACTAGAAGGGATCTCCATTTTCAAGAGTTCCTCCGAACGAGATGCTTGAATCTCGTGCCAAGGCCTTGCCAGCAGAATGGTTCAGGCCATTGGGCATGTCACATGTTTATAGCTGCGAGTCGCAGCTCGGCATGTGTACAGTGCGGAAATCATTTACACAAGTCTGTCTAAGCGCTCGGATCTATCGGAGTCTCCGCCTCACGCGAGCTGACATGTAGCAGTTTCGATTTCTTTGTCTTGCAGCTCCGGCTCTGGAAGGCTGCCTGGCTGGTCCTCCTCTCACTCCGAGTTTCCGGCGTATTTTTGGATGGTGATGCTGGGCACAAAGCTGCTCTGAAGCTCGACGAGGAGCCGCATGATCCTTGTCACTAGTAATGACGGTAACATTAGCAATGCTAGTTACAATGTATTGTTGGTAATCATAATCATCATAAGGGTTCAGGGACGCCTACCTTTGTAGGACCTTAGGAAGAGCATGTGTCACGTGCTCAGGACTCGGGTTCCGTCTTGGTCCAGCTGAATGCGACGGTGAAGCCGGGAGCGAAGCCTTTGGCCTAGACAGCTTTTCTCTTTCTGTGCCACAGGCAAAGGAAGCCGCAGGCTGCGGCCCTGCAGCTTGCAGCTCGCAATTGCCTTTCGTCTAAGGCCGAACGAGACAGAACCGCCTGTGGTACACACTCAAAAGATTGCGACTTGATGCAGTGGAAGTTGTGTTGTCGTCTTGAGGTCAGCAGGAAGATTGAACGATCTAGCTCCGAATTCTTGTTTGGTACATCCTGGCCATCAGGAAGAGACCATCAAGGACTCTGTGACGAAGAGGAAGGGCAAAATCGCGCGTCATTTGATGCAAGAACTGGCTGCAGCAGAGCATTGCTGGAGACTTTCCATGTCTGTTTGCGGCCATGGTGGTCCGAGGTGAGACCAGCACCAAAGGTGCCTTGCTGCATTTTGTGCAGAATGCATTTTGAATGTGGCCTTCGCAAGCGAATCAAGAGGCCGAGTCGCAGGAACTCTTGTCATGAGGGCTTCTGCCACCGTCCTTGCGAGATACCTTCCTGGCATAAGCTCGAACCATTCTCTCGCATAGCCCAAGCTCTGCCTTTTCGCTTGCATGTCAGCTTCTAGGATGTCATTACAGCCAAGGCAATGGCACCGAGTCTGCAACAGACTCAGATGCCTTGGCGAATGGGACACAGGCCTCAACCCCTCAAATTAATGCCCTCAGCATTGTTGTCAGACTGGACTGATAGCTAAATCCTGCTCCTGGGATTGCAGGGCAATGGTACGTTGAGAGGCAACAGTCGTTTGGCAGAGTTTCTCACACTGTTCTTACAACATGAACGTTGAGCGATAGGAAGCAGTCAGTCAACTCTTGACGGCTGGCTCATACTCTGGCGCATGCTAGCTCCCAGTCCTGCAGGCACCACAGCACTCCACATTATCCTGAAACGTTCAACAGATCTCAGGCAGTTCGTTTCGGAGGACCATGGATACGAGCTTGTCACGATGCTTTGGGAGAGGGGGTGCTGCGTGGGCCCGTGGTCAAATCCAACAATGTCGCGAGTAATCGCTGATTGTAAGTTTTGGCGTCGGTCTGCTTCGGTGGCCAGGAGTTGGCTTGTTTGTTAGCAGGTTCACGGTTTTATGTGCACGCCTTTCGGTTGAGGCGTGGGTGGCCAAGGCGGGCTTCAAAGATCAAAGCTCACTGTCTGGATTTCGGCTCTGGGTGACCGAAAATCGAAAGTCAACACTCGGCGCGGGGATCTCGGAATCGATGCCAGTCGTGAGATTCCGAGATCGACGCTCGTTCGTGGGTCTCGGGTGTGTGGAAATCCGCCTGCTTGGTGTAGACGGCCAGCCACACGTGAATGCTGCGCAGGGTACGTGGATGAAGAACAGCCTAGACGGGAAGCTTGAGTCCTGGGGCGGTTTGTCTTGTTAGAGGGCTGTCAAACATAATCAAGCCAGGGGGGGTTAGCGCTTAGCAACGGTTGCCACATGGGGAAGGCCGAAACGGCTCCCCGTGCTGGCTTGTTGTGCGAATTGCAAGCTACTGCTGGATGCCTTTAGGCAGCCTCGCCGAATAGCTGTGGTTCCTGAGCAGGTTGACGAGCACACGGCCTTTGCTCACGCGCACTACCAACAGAATGCAACGAATGTAACCTTGCCGCAAAGCTTGAGAGATTTGGGCATAGGATGCCTTTGTGCCCCTAGGATGTCGGCCTTGCATCAGTAGCATGTGCATGTTGGAGACAGCAACTGCCGAGCCATGCCTGCCTTAGACTCCATATGATTGATCAGTAAGAAACCACTCGCAGAGAGTCGTCTCAGCTTGGTTTGCTGCGCCAGCTTTCACAAGACAGTCGACTTGGTATTCCGCCAAATGTTAAGGGGACCGACATTTCTGTTGTCGTCCGGATCGCCGAGCCGAGTCTTGCTTGAAGCAGGTCGCTTGCACTCCGGCAGTCCGTCAGTTACCAAATCTTGCTGTGCCATGTGCTTGGGCTCGGTCCAAAGTGCGCATAGCATTCCGAGGAATCAAGTCATCACCCTGTACCTGTTCATCTTCGTTCCACTTGCCATGGCTTGGACCTACTACTACTATCGAGGCCCTTGCACAGATCACTCGACCGCGTTGTCTGGTGACACTGCTTGCAAAACCAAGCCTGAAGATCGAATCACAACTCCTAGAACCTTTCTCGCTAAACCGCTAAATCCCTCAAGCTGATGAGGCTCCGAGGGTACTTCGCACCAGCAGCTTTACCTGCTTCTGCTGCAGAACCTTGAGCTGCAAATGGTCCATAGAAGCAGCTCTACATACGCATACCACATGCATTGCCGCATTCCTACATGCATAATCTGATATACGAGCGGGCACGCATGCATTCCCACATACCTACATGCCGACATACGTATACATATCTACAGACGTACCTACATACATACAAACACAATCAAACGCACTTCACACATGCGCACGCTCCTGCACAGCCACATTATAGGTAAAGCAAAATATGACACCCCCGCGACTGGTTTGCTTTCTTCACTCTACCTTGAGGCTGTTCTGCAACGTCGCATTAACCTCGAAAATCTGCACATTCACCCTTGGTGGCTCCCGATGCTACCTTTTCTGTCCTTATGCAATCGGCTTGAACCTTTATGCGAACGTGATTCTTTCTGCTGGTGGCCCCGGCTGTCTTTATGCCAGCGGAGTTGGGCAGGTGCCCTTATTTCGACAATTTTCGTTTCCAGCTCCCTTTTCCCCACGTTTGCTGTCATCGAGGAACTGAGCTCCCAAAACCATAAATAACAAACGCGCCCCCCGATACTGTAAAGCAAAGAGCCGGGCTAATGCAGGGCAAGGTGGAGGCTGGGGGCATGGCCGAAACTGTCCAGCGAAAGGAAGGAGACAGCTAGCAAGAGGAAAATCGGTCAGCAACAGCACCAAGTTGCTGTTCCTGATTCATTTCTGCAGTTCATGTCGACGTGGGAATGGTTGTGACTTGCGAAAGTTCAAGAGGAAGCGTCTCGCATAGGTGATTTTTGGTGTGCTCTACAAGAAAAATGTTAGGATGTGCCGTCTTGATATGCTACCAGTAGGGGTCACAACAATCAGTGTAGTAGTGCAGCGTTTGTAGAAGCTTGAAAAGGGATGATGCTAAGAAGTATAGCAAGGTGTATAGCAAGGGCTCCAGGAAGCATTGATTCAGGGAGTATCTGGGTTTTGGAGGCTTGTTAGGAGTTGAAGGCATTTGATAGCACGCATAAGCGGATCATGATGCCCGTGAGGCCAATAATGTAAGCGCCTGCGTGGTTACTAGTTGAAGATATGTAGTGGTGGTTCGTGTTTGCGGGTGCTGGTATGACACATGTTGTAACTGTCCCCCAGATTTGCGATCCACTGCAGCAGGGGCTCGTGGAAAAAGAGATGCTGATCATGGGCATTTCCGTGAGGGTGCAGCATTTTGATCGGCGGGGGATGCAGATATGAGTGTATGTGTCTGTACGTATATACATGTATACATGCGCGCTGCATGGGGGCATTTGTTGCTGGCATGATTCATTGAATTGAGTGTGCCTCTGCGTGTTTCGCTTGTGCATGAGGACGTTTCTTGCTGAGGCTCAGTGTTGCGGCCCTGAACCTGGGCACGGTTCTGGTGAACCAGTCACTTTGTGTTCTGATGAAGGCGCCGATGGCGCTCACAGCTATGCAAAGTGTCTCTATGCTGCCCGACTACACAGGTTGACAACAAATTGTCAGTTTCGGTTCTTGCTTTCAACGTTGGCTATTCCGGTCTTCGGGGGACTCCGTTGCGCCAGCCCTTGAGGCTTGTGTTCGGATCTGGCCTTACCATGGTGCACTACTTCTGGAGAAGCGAATCCAGGCCTAGATGGGTAGGGGCACTTGCAGTAGCAAATCAATGTCGAGTCAGTGCGCGACCGCTTGCTGGTTCATGCTTGGATTTCAGCTTCGGGTGTAAAGTTGGCACAGGCCAACTTTTGGTGCCTTGCGAAAAGATTTGACGCTTTGGCTGCCGGCTGCAGCAGCTTTTGGCGCTCTGGCTGCAATGTGTCAATGTGTTGAGGGCTTGTTGGACTGCGTCAAGTATATGGTTAGATTGAAGCTCCAGGAAATGTAGCGTCACTCTCTCTCGCTCTCTCTGTTGGTTGCCAATGTCGGCTTAGCGGCAAGCAGAGGACCCCCTCAACACCACCCCCCCCATGCAGCACCAGATAGCCGCAGACAAATCGACAAAGAGCAGACCTTCATGGATGGAGCAGGTAACGCGGAACCCCTCGTACAGTATGTCAGAGTATCCGCCACACGTTGCAGAGTTTTCAAAAGCTTCCATTGCGCGTGCTCCGACCGCACACATCACATGCGAGTGGCTTCGAAATCTGCATGGAACGGCTCTGAGTGCGTCCGCTGGCAACCTTGCATGCTTTTCAGGCCCAACCGGGCGCAAGTTTCGCCAAATCGATGGACAAGTGCGCACACGTAGGTGCAGACACTGAATACGCCCCACGTCGGCAGGCGCCCACCTCGGATCAGTATGGAAACGAGTTGATCGAAGGGGTGGTCAATTCCCTCCCCGGTCCCCGGCTGAAACTCCGGTCACATCTGCTCGGCCGAGCCGGTTGCCATTGGCTCGGTCTGACGGGTTGGCCTGGCCAAACAACCCTCTCGATTATGATCACTCGCCCATGGCATTGTCCTGAGGTTTGTAGAGCTTGGGTGCGGCGATAGCGCTGTCTGTGATTAGGTCTGCAAACATGAGGCGGTTCCATCTCGAATGCTGTGCCTCGAGTTGTGGGGTGAGCTTGCTGTCGCCCGCCGGTCTTCAAGTCGCCCTCTTCTTTTTGATCCTTCTGTCTGTCTCTCTCCTTCTTCTTCGTCCTCGTAGTGCGGACAAGCTGCCACTCTGACAGCCCCTCTGTGGGAATGCGTCCATGCCGGTTTGGAGGCGTTGACTTCTGACCCTACGCTCCAAACTTGCAGCCAAGTTAGCTGGCATTCGCTTGTTTCTGCTTGTGGCTTCGGCTTAGGAACTTCTGCAGCCTAGGGTAAGGCAGCCTGCACTCTCTTGAATGTGAGGAGGAGTCAGAAGGACGTGCGACTCCCACCGGGGTTTGGGATCTTCAGAGAGCCGGCAAGAAGTAGAAAAGGACCTTCGTAGTCCGCCCTGGTCACACAGAGACGCGGACTCCGGACAGGACAGGCTGGGGCGAGTGGAGACGAGGGTGCCTGCTGCTAGCTGAATTGTCATCCAGTGCGCTACATGGGCTTGTGTTGCACAGCTTTACAGTCCCCACGCGCACTGCTGCGTCTTCGGGTCAGTCTCACTTGACCCGCGAAGACGCTGGTGACCAGTCGTTGAGTGTTTCGTTCGCGAGCGCTCAATTGGCAAAGTTAACGAATAAGGAGAAGACGCATGATGTCCGCAAGCTGAGCAAGACGAGCCAATGCACGGACAGCTTCGGGGTGCAGGGCATCACATGCTGCTAACTTCAGGAAGGATGACCGGAGATAACGCACTTCAACACAAAGGTATTTAGTGAGGGAAGCAACTGCAAGATGTGGCAAGATTCATGCTTTAGGCCTCTTCCGGAGGCCTAGAGTTCTAGAGGAGCGATGGAAGGATAACGTGGGATAGTGGAGGTTCATGTTGCTTCAATTCGGAGACGTTCTCGGCAACCTGCTCAGGAGCAGGAGACACTGTCCTGGGTACGTTTGGGACGAGTCAGTGTAGAGATACGGTCCAAAACCAAGCCGAGGTGTCTATCAGTTGGCTGACCACTTTGAGGCCAACTTTTGTTCGCTCTCGGAGCGAACAGTCTTCGGAAATTTGGCACCCGTCCTGGGACTGTTTCTTGAACTGAGCCTCGCGTCCTTCATGCAACCGCGAGCATCCGAGAAAGCATCTGCCAACTTGTCGTCCAAGATGGCGCTGGCCGCCAAAGTTTTCGGAGCGACTATCTTCGCGCTGCAGTATCCAGACTTCAATGCCAAAGGTATGGAGGTGTCAACGTATTATGTCATCTCCATGGTGATCTACAGGCTCGTGCAGCGTTGCATTTTGGGCCATGTGAAGAGCCCTCTCGCTGTGCTTACAGCATTTGACGCTGTCGTCTGCTTCGTGATCGCGGGATGCCTGAGCAGAAGTGAAGTTGATGATATGTCTGAGTCTCTACATCTGTGGTGGAGCAATGGATCCATAAGAACAATGCTCGCTTTGTCCTTCGTGGCCTTCAGTGTCGGACACTGGACCATGCTGCACCTTGTGAATACAGACACAGCCACGGCGGTGATGGTTATTGGCAATATCTCCAGTGGTTTCAGTGTCTTTCAAGGCTCCCACCCCAGTCGGTGTCTTCATTGCCTGCAGTATGAAGTTCAACCAGCTTTATGCTTTAAGAAACCGAGGTATTTTGTTTTTCCATGACGATGACTTTCAACGGCCCGTTGCCTTTGCCACTGTGCCGCATCAGTTCGGGTGGCACAGTTCGCCGTGCTTCTACTCCCTTGCGTCTTGCACATGTCGCACAAGGCTGGAATCCTGATTGTGATTTTCGCCGGCATCTGGTGGACGATTAACCAAAGCATGGGTGCTACTGACAAGGGTGAAAAGCAGAAAGACGAAGACGCTGTTGCAGTGCTGCTTGGTTCCAATACTGCCTTGCAGCAGTGTGCGGAATTCTCTTTGAGAGCACATGGGCTTCATCTTTGTAGTTGACAGTATCTTGTGACTTCCGACGTGATGCGAGGTCTGCTCCTGAAGACGGTCAGTGATTGTCCAGAGTCATACCAGTCAATGACGGTGTGCCGGAGTGTGTCCGAGGAGTCTCACCTGTGCCGTAGCAGAGAAGTACAACTCAGCTCAAAGTGTCGGTTCGGGAGCCGAAAACACTTCCCTGGCCGTGATATCTCCCACTTGCAGCACGATGTTCATCTTGAGAGCTCTAACTTTGCTGTTTTGCGAGGTGAGCCAGTGCGACAGACGACAGTAGTCGATGAGCGAGACAAGCCTCCTGCACCTCCCACGAATATGGCCTGATCCCCAGCTGCCACCTTGCGTTTTGTCTGAACTCTCCTTCATGATCTTGTTCCACAGCCTTTTGCAAGGCATTGGGTTTCCTCCATGCCGGCTACGTCCCTCCTGTTCTCCCTAAAGCAGCTTGGCTGAAGCTGCTGAGCTTCGCTGCTTTGTTTTGGTTCGCCTTTCACAGGTTCCCCGTGCGCCATCTTGAAGTGACGAGCTGCCTGTGATAGAAGGCACGGAGGGCAGGGGGAGGGGCATGGACCGTCGCCCGTTGCGATGCTTCAAGGGCCTCGGACCCTCAGCTCAGTCTGGTCAGGCGTTGGTCCCAGGCCATGTGGAGCTCCTCAGCCCGGACGAGGCGCGACTCTGCCTTGGAGTCGGCTTGCTTTTCTGTGGGAAGCGGTTTTTGTCAGGACTCTCCCCGCGCTCCAGGATCTTCGGTGTCAGATGCGTCCTCATGACGTTCGCCGGCTCGTGCTACTGTGCGACATCTTCCAGATGGCTACCACCTACAAGCGTGTGACGTCTTAGGTGTTGTAGGACCTGAGGACTATTTGAGAGTAGTGGATGGTGCCCGGAGCACCAAGACCATGACCCCTTCACAGGAAAAAGCGCGGTGAGTCTAAATTGTACTAATACTCCTTTTCTTCTTCTGTCAACCACGTTCTAACGTGCCAGGAGAAGCTCAAGGCCAAAGGCTTGTCAACTGCCGGCGAGCACGAACAGTCCAGCCGGCTGTTGTTTGCTGCCGCGTGTGGGAAGATGAACCGTTCTGACACGTTCAGATGAAAGGTTGGTCTTTCGACTGACACAGGCGCAGGCCGGTTCTTTTTGAGAGACAGAGAGAGGGACTTGACCAGAACGCTGCTGAGAGGCCGAAACCGTCTTTACGTTCATGTCAGCCGAGACTGTTTTTTCCTGGCGACAGACAGATTTGGGGTTGTCAAAATCTCGCGAACTCGCTTGAACTCGCCGGTTTCGGCTCAGCTTCCTTCCGTGCCGGGAGCCCGTGGTCCTGCGCACGGTGGAGCTCGGTGAGCGGCCCCGGCGTAGGCATCTGGGAGTCTGCAAGTCCGCTTGGTGCTTCCTTGCATCCTCTTGCTTGGACATAGCGAGAGATGTCCGAAAGATTCTCCTGACAAGACTGATTTCTTTGGGCCCGAACTTGGTGAGGATATTAGGATGCCGCTTCGACTGGACATCAAGAAGAAGCTGTCCGCAAGGCAACGATAAGGGGGGGATCCAGCAAGCTCTGAAAAAGAAGGATTTGAATTTTGTGGCAGCTATTGCAGTAGTCTTGGCCCATGTCTTTCTCCTCGTGCATTTGTTGCCCTTGCGCATGTTTTAACGAAGTGCGGCGGTGAGACGGCCTGAGGTGCACGCCAACATAAACATAAATATACACCAACCGTCCCAAAAGGGTTCATATCTCTGCAGATGCAGAAACTGGGAACATTCTCATGCAGGGTTGCGCTGATTCGCAGGAGTGACCGAGTGAAGTGCGTCGACTTTCACCCTTCGGAACCCTGGACATTGTCAGCACTCTACTCAGGCCAGGGAGACATGTTGGCGCGAGATTTCCCAGAAGCAACAGTGCAAATTGCCAACAGGCAACATCTTCATCTGGGACTACAACACGCAGACTTTGGTGAAGCAGTTCGAGGTGCCCTGTTGCCAAACAACTGAAAGGTATGCCGACGTGTGATTGAGAATCAGAGTCCGTCATGCTGAGGTTTGCAACTTGCCAGTGCGATGTGCCAAATTTGTGACTCGCAAGCAATGGATCGCCACTGCTTCGGATGACATGCATGCCCGTGACTCAGACTCAGTGGGGGAACATGGTACTCGTAGCCTGCTCTTGACTTCATTTCCGAGATACGTGTTTTCAACTACAACAGCCTGGAGAAAGCTCACGAGTTCGAGGCGCGTGCCAAGCGAGTCCCCGATTGGGAAGCACCGAACGCAATTGGGAAAATTCCAAGAAAGGCCCACACGGACTACATTCGGTACATCGCGGTGCATCCGACCCTGCCGTATCTCTTGTCCTGCTCGGATGACATGTCCATCAAGTCTGGGGCCTGTGAATTACCCTTCTGAAGCGGCTTTTCTGTCGGGCATTGGGCTTCATCCCCAAGGCTCTGGGACTGGGACAAGAATTGGCAGAACCTTCAGGCCTTTACTGACTTGTGTCCCAGTCGGGGCTCCGTGGCGATCCCTCGAGGCCTTTGAGGGGCACGCACACTACGTGATGATGTGCCAGTGGAATCCCAAGGCCAGGCCTTTTGCAGAGCTGCGGTGGCATGATGGTTTGCCGCAGCAGCAGCATGCAGTGCATGCAGGATGCGAACATCTTTGCCTCGTGCTCCCTGGACCGGTCAATCAAGGTCTGGGGTGTGTCCGGAGGAGCAGGCTGGGCATCCCTACCTGTAGAAGCCTTGCTCAGAGTCTCGCAAGCAGGTGGAACCAGCAGCTGCCACTTTACCCTCACCGGCCACCAGCGTGGGGTCAACTGCGTGGAGTGCCCCCGGATTTTGCATGAGCGTCAACGCCAACTTAGTCTGAATTTGTCAGTGGCACTCGTTCACCCGGTCCACCCCTGCCAGCCGCATCGTGATTTCAGGTACTCGCCTGGAGGCGAGAAGCCCTACATCATCTCAGGGTGCCTGCCTTGCCTTGCAAACTCGACGGCCAGTGATTCAGATCTGCTGAGCTAGCTCTTGTTTTTGCTGCCATGGCGCTGAGGTCAGATGATCGGAGCATCAAGATCTGGGACTACCAGACCAAACAGTGCCACAGCTGCCTTTTACAGCAAGTCCTTCTGGCCAAAGGCCGGGAAGACACATGCTGGTCATGTGTGCCTAGCAGGTGCATACAGACGCTGACCGGGCACACGAACAATGTATCTTATGCCACCTGGCCTGTCATAGCATGTTTTGCGTGATCCGCCATATTTTCAGCTCCAGAAGCCTGCCAGAAGAGAGATCTGAAAGTCATCCCAACAGCTGAGGCGCTGTTCCACCCAGCTTTGCCCATCATCCTGACGGGCAGTGAGGACGAGTTAAACGCAATGCTCATTGCAAAGTGACCCTTTAAGCTTAGGCCGGTCCTACATGTGAGTTTCCGAATTTGAGGGTGCCCTAATATGGATCCTACTATTTAGGGTACTATATTAGGGTCCCCTATCTGAAACCTCCACTGACATGTTTCTTTCGACTCCAACATGCTCAAGACCATGCAGGGTTTTGGCACTAGTCCTCAAGTCAACTCCAGGACGGTACCGTGAGAATATGGCATGGGTCTACGTATCGCTTGGAGGCTGTGCTCTCAGTATCCCTGAACGGTGTGTTGCACTCAAAGCCTGTTGTCTCAAACACATACTTTGAAGGCAGGCTTGCAACGGAGCTTCGGTTTGAAAGTTGTCCGCTACGTTTGGGCAGGCCACGCTAAGCTACTTTTTGGAACGCGTCTGGTCCATCGCCGTGCTCAAGGGCTCGAACACCGCTGGGGACCCCGGAACCCTGACTTTGATTGGGTCTGAGACCGGCGAGCCGCCGAGCCCACCCCCAGGCTGCTCTGGGATACGATGAGGGCACTGTCGTGATCAAGCTTGGAAGCGAGGCCAGATGCTAAGCTGTCGCTGACATGTCCTTGCAGCGGGCGACAGCTTTGCAGGAGCCAGTCGTGTCCATGCACTCGGGCAAGATCATATGGGCGGACCCGGCATGGTTTGGATCCAGCATTTATCCGCTTCGGTGCATCATCGCCAGGCCAAAGGCAATGAGATCCAGACTGCAAACCTCAAGCTGTTGGACGAGGGTGTGACTGCGCGGGAGGGCGAGAAAGTCCCACTGAGCGTGAAGGAGCTTGCCCTCGCGCGTGAGGGTAGGGTGAACTCGTAGATCTTGTTGAAGCAGGACATGGGTGCAGCAGAGGTCTTCCCTCAGTACATCGCGCACCACCCAAACGGTGCGCACACATCTTGAAGCCGAGACACGAGATGTTGGATTTACTTGTAGTTGCTGATTTCTTGCCAGGCCGTCTTTTTGCAGTTTGTGGCGATGGCGAGTTTGTGATCTACACCGCCCAGGTAGGGTCTGCACCTGGTACTTACCGTTCTTCTCGAAGCGAGCCACAGTGTGATGCGAGGCGCTCCGCAACAAGTCCTACGGTCCTGCACTGGAGGCCTCTGCCGGAGCCTGCCCAACTCGAAGAAGCGAACTATTAACTTGTACCAGAAGAAGTTTGTAAAGGGTTTTCAAATTAGTCTGGCACCAGGGTTGCCTGAAGTGCGGGTCTTACCGCGCAGGTCCGGCTGACGTCGGACTCATTCCCGAGAGAAGTTGGCTGGGGAAATAGTCCAAGGGGGCTTTGCTTTCCACCCTTACTTATGCCCACCAAAAGAAGAAAGAGAGACACAAGAGCACCGACCTCTTTGTTCACCGTCCGGTGGCGGTCTGTGAATGGAAGAGAAAAGCCTAAAACAGGCTAGGCCCATGCCAGAAAAGAGGCCAGAGCGAAGATTGTTTAGACGCACTCGCCTTGCCCTGGAGTTCTGCTGGGCGCATTCCGGCGCCTATGCGACTCGAGATGGAAACGGCAAGATCACCGTCTTCCAGGACACTTCTGCTGCGCTGCTGCACACAGTATTTATATATGCTGGGTGACATTAGGAAGCTTCCGACAAAGCACATCCCACTGTGAGTCTGATCTCTTTGCAGCTGCTGGGCAAACTCTTCAATATACTATAAAGTCTAACTTGAGAAGCGTTTGTGGCCAAGTCCCTCGGCGCCTCCACAGGACTTCAAGGAGAGCTTTTCCTTTAAGCCTCCCTTCACCGTAGAAGAGACCTACGGAGGTGGGCAGGGGAAAGCCCCGTCTATAGCCGCGAAGATGCAAGTAGCTGCTCACTGGACACTTGCTTGAAGGTCGCTTGCTTGGCATCCGCGGTGGCGATTTCATCTGTTTCTATGACTGGACGGAGCCATGGCCTTACACTGGAACATACTGGAACCTGAAAGACCATTGGAGAAGGCTCTCAGGAGCGGCCTGTTGTCATGTCCCCGTTCGCAGAGGTATCGGCTCATTCGCCGCATTGATGTGGTGCCAAAGGATGTCGTTTGGCCCGATGCTTGGGACAACGACCATAGGAGCAGACATCGACTGTGCTTCCGCTTTTCGTGCCCAGCATGAACGTGTCAGGTCCGAGGAGGGTACCTCCGTGGTGCTCATCTGCCCCGACTCTTTTTATGTGCTCAGGTGACCAGGGTGGATGTTTCTGTGGGGGACGCCATGTGGACAGATACCCCGCCTGCCCCTGCCAGACACGACAAAGATGCCGTGCAAGCGGCCCTGGTCTCCAGTGGAATGGTGGACGAGGTGCACCGTCCAATCCGTCTCTCCTTTGCTTCGTTTTGGCTCTCCTTTGCTTGCCGGAATGGCGCAGAGTCCAGGATGGCATCGAGGCAGCCTTTGACCTGCAGCATGAGATCAACGACAAGGTGCGCTCAGATACTGACGTGTCTGGAAGGCTTTCGCGACGAAGAGCTGAAATCAAAATCTTAAGCTCCGGGCGATGGTCAACGGTCTGCCGGATCGTCCTTCCCGGCTGCCGAGGTGGTGAGTGGGCTTTGGGTTGGAGACTGCTTTGCCTCAGCCTCGGATGCTGAAGAAGTTGTTTTCAATCTTCATGTGTTTCGCTAGCATCCCGTTCCTTTTTTTGGGTCGTCTCCCGTCTTCCTCTCGATGTTATCCCTTTCTTCGCCGGGGCAGTGGATAGCAGCATGTGAGGTGTATGTCTCTCATGCCCAACGATTGACCTGTCTCGTGGCGGGCTCACAGGACTCCGAAGACCGATGAGGGGTCACAGGAGTGTATTTTAGGCGAAAATTCGCAGGCTTTGACCCTCCGGACGTTTAGCTTGTTGAGGGCAGACAGCCCAAAACCCCGCACACCAGATGTCAAGGAAAGCTAGATGCCGAAAGCCCGCCACAGGAGACTTTGGCACATTTGGACCGCCTGCAGTGCCCCAGTGTGAGCAGCATTGTTCACAGCTGTACAGCAATGACAGGGACTCATGCAGTGCAGTATCAGTATGGCTTGGGATCTGGTTTGAGGGTCTCGAGTTGTACCTGCAGCTTCTTCGGCTGAAGGTCGGAGTGTACGCGATACCTGGTTGAGGTACTTGCTGGGATACATGCCAGAGCAGTCTAAGCTCTACCTTATCGACAAGGAGCTTAATGCCGGTCCCTCTGAGAAGTGGCAGGATGTAGTAGTGCTCTGAGCGAAGCTTTAGGTGACACCTTACACGCTGCATATGGCCCTCATAGAGTACCAGTCGGCCATCATGCGGAAGGCCTGGGCTGTGAAGCTGAGCAGACTCTCATGTGCTAAGCTGACGGGCTCTTTCGATGACAAGCGGCGTGCCTGTGAACATACATCCCTCTTGAGCCCCTCTGGTGTCTCTAGTCAGTCCCTTTTGCTGTATTCAATCATGCACAGAAACATGGTGCCGGGGTTTCGATCACGAGGTGCAGCGAAGCTTCGTCTAGATAGACGATTCCACGCAGAATCCATCCAAAAGCAGACATAGCAATCTTTCGTAATCATTTCCATGTTCCTTAGAGCCTTTTTCAGTTCTGATTGGATTCCACTTGCTGTTGCTCTGCAGTGCAACAGACCTGCAAGAAGGAATGCAATTGCGGGCGCTGATTGGTTGGGGGCTGAACAAATTCTTCTCTGATTCGTTCTGGCACGCTAGTCTCAAGCTGATGCGCTTCGCTTGTGTATTCTCTCTTGTTGGGGACATCCTAAACCATGTGTCATTGTTTCGCTTCGTCTGATTTTCATTCGCCCGCGAGAGCACAATAAGCAACAACATTTCTACTAGTAGAAGCAACTCTCTTCCCGTTATGCTGCTGAAGCATCTGCACAAGCTATGTCGAAAGGGTCGCAGCGATTGCTGGTGCGTCCGGTTTGGAGCGCATACGGCGGACAACAGTCTTTGCTGTTCTGTCTGACAGGACTTTCCCACAGCAGAGACATTTTTTGCGCAGCTGCCCGAGTGGAGGCCTCAGCCATGCTGCGCAGATTCTTCAAACTCATGAGCAGGGGAGGAGGGGCTTCCGCTCGGCAGCTACCTCCATCTTCCCTGTAGGGTTTCAAAGCCTAGGTCACTGCACAATCGAATTGCCCGGTTCTTGGAGAACCAGGGATACCAGGCCGAGGCTCTTGCGATCTCCAAGGACTGCCACTTGATCACATTGTCGGGCGCCATTTCTTCGTCCGTCCACCGCCGTGGCTGGGAGGACGACGAGCATCGCTTCGAGCTGGCTACACAGCTGGGCAAGCTGCAGATGGCTGCGGACATCATAGTCAGCATCACGGCCCAGGCAGGTAATTAGACCGCTACGCACACAGACCCAATCGGAAGAGGAGCTGCAGTGCCGGCGACTCACAAAGTGCATGTGTGCACAGGCCAATCCTGGAATGCCGCCTCGTGGCAAGTGGAAGAACCTCGGGGATGTGGCCCTAGAACAAGGCATCCGAAATTGAGCTGTCCGATGCTGCATCGGGACAGAAGGGCAATCGCTTCCGCGTCGGCAAGGCGACTTCACGTTGGCAAAGCGTTGCTTCAGTGAAGCGAAGGCCAGAAGACCACACCTCACCTACCTCCTTCGTCCTGAACAGCACGCGTGCAGAGCACAGGACCTTGGAGCCCTCTTCCTCTTGTACACCTCGGTGGGGGATGCGGAAGGCGTCCTGTCCACCGGCACATTGGCCGAGGCCGTCCAGGGTGCCAAGCACAAAGTCATTTGAGCTGACTAAGCCGAAGCCAGAGCCGAAGTGAAGAGCTCTTTCTGAAAGCCAGGAGAGCAACATTAGCAACATCGCCGTGCTATGCTACCTGCTGCTGGGAGACACCAAGCGAGCCTTGGAGGTGGGTTGCCGAATCGTCTCGTCTCTTCTTTGAGCGTGGTTCCGAAAGCGCTTTCCTTCAACAGGTTCTCGTCAGCTCAAACCGCCTGCCCGAGGCCTGTCAGCGGTTCAGATGTCAGGCAACTTTCGAGCATTTCTGCATACCATTCGCGAGGCAGCGTTTTTCGCCCGGACGTACTGTCCAAGTGAACTATCTAGAGTTGCTCGCGCCTGAGAGATCATGGAATGCGCTTTCATCCGAGTCAACAGTCTCTCAGTCATCGCTATGCAATAGGTGCAGATTTGGACAGCAGACTTGGCGAAAGTCAACCAGGCAAGCTCGGATGTCGATGCATCCTGTCGTATGACTGCAGATACTCTGCGATGCGTTTGAAGCCGTGATAGGCTGTAGCCGAATCCCTAGCGGATCCTTCCAAGTGCAGACCCCAGTGATGCTGCATGCTGCAGCTTGAGCTGTTTGCTTGCCGGGTGTGTTTCCATGGGAAGCTGTGCCCTTGGAGACGTGAAGTGCGCGCAGGTATCCGGACCTTTTCCAGGACTTCGACCTTACCCTAGCTGCAGAGAATGCCTTCGAAGCCCCGGCCTAATGTGAAAGCACACATCCTGGTTTCATCTGCCCACCTCTCAAACTTCCCAGGCAAGGAGAAAAAACCCTCCTCCAGCTTCTGCTTATTCGACAGCTGCCTTCTCAGCTCGCTGTGCCCTCTGCATCGATTAAGGCTTCAGTATGTCCTGCTCCTCAGGAGAAAGAAATTCTTGAGTTGGATGTCATGGAGGAGCTCAAGAAGTTGGGTCACTTCCTCGGAACATCTCAGCTCTTCAGAGTCAGGGCTCACCTGCTGACAGGTGCCGAAAACTTCCAGAAGATGCTGACAAAAGGCAACCAGCAAACGGACCATTGACCGTGCATTGGCTGTAGTCACTCACGGCCCATCTCTGTTCTGGAATCAGTCTTACATCTGTGCATTCTGAATTCATGGCTTTCTGCGGCATGCTTCTGTGTCACATTCTGCGTAAGGGCGGCAGACGACCTCTCGCCCTGAACAGTCATGGGAAAGTCCAACGGAACCTGGCTCATCCTGACTGACTCAGTACATCTCTGGTCAGGGGGCGGACCAGCAGATTTTGCACCACCCCCTCGAGTTCAACCGGCGGTGGTACCAGCACCCCAACCGGATCTCATTGTGCACGAGCCGTGAGCCTAGAAATGTGCGATTTTCCTAATAGGAATTTGCATTCAAGTGGATGCACGTCCGTGAAGAGGCCCGAGCCAGCGCCTGTCATGGCTGCTCCGGTTCCTGCACAGAACTGCCGGCATGGTTAAGCGAGGTGCGACCACCAGAGATTGATTGGCGATTGGCCCTGACAGGTCAGCACCGGAGACCATAGTTGAGTCCTCTTCTCCTGAACTGCTGGTGAACAACTCAGAAGACAAGCAAGACTGTAGTAAAGGGGTGTCTTTCTGGATGGAGCTAGTCAGCTAGTCTCCTGGCTGGCAGCCCTATTGCGACTTCTCAGGTGCCAGATGCAGCTGTGCCACCACCAGTCTGCAGCTAAGACCAATGGATGCCATTCTTGAGACCACGAGCTCGCTCGGTGATTCACTTAAGTGGCCGAAGGAGTCAGGTGCATGGACGTACGTCACGGGATCTAATTCAAACCTCCGAGTCCTTCTCCGCTTTATCCAGTCCAAGGAATCTGCAGGTGGGGAGGCCCCGGCACCCGAGCCGACTTGACACGTTTGTGCTCCTTTCGCTTTTGCAGCGGCTGCAATGCGAAAAAGTGCCAGGCAGAGCGGCGGCGGAGCGGCGGAAATGCCTGACCTCCTCTAGACTCTAGGAGCCGAGTTGCCACGGGCTCCTCCCTGTCTGAGAGTGCCAGAAGTAGGACAAAAGTAGCGAGTTCGTGCTACTCTTGGCAAGAGGTCACATAGGGTTCATGGCTGAGGACTTAGAGGCAGCAGCTTCAACGCTATTGACTCGTGAAAGCCGCCACAAATCCATTGTAACTACAGCTGACGCCCTTCTCCGTTAGAAGCAGTGTTCGCCTTCAGTAATGCCTTTGAAATCCTGACAAGTTTCCTGCCCGAAGCAGCACCTGTCTAGTTTGATAACTTAGATAGGTCGCCCGACGAGATTGATCTTGCCGCGCTGGCAAAACATGGATCAGCTGCACATACTGGTAGCAACTGTTGCGAGGACATGCTGCAGATGTAACAAACCAACACTTTCTGGCTGTGGTGGAGCTTTCAGCCTTGAGAAGCCTGCAGGCACGAGCTCCGTCCCAGAAGGCACCAGCGCAGGCCATACGATATCACCTAGTGACAGCCTTTGGCAACGCGTACCTTCGGCTAGAACCTTCAGAGAGGGTGGGTCATGGCCGTCACCGGTAGAAGCAGAGGTGTTTGCAGTTCTCGTGGCAGCAACGATGTACTGGAACTTTGCAGGCTCCTCCGCTGGTTCCCGCCGGCAAAGGAGCCGCAAAGCTGCATTTATCAGCCGCTTCGTTCGGGTTCTTGGAGAGATTCGCATGTGCATATTTAAGATCTCTGCTTCCTGCGTAAGAGTACGACAATGGCAGTCTGAGGCTTCCAAAGGCAGGATAAGACACGGCAAAGGCAAGGGGGAAGCAGCTGGTTTTGTTCATAGTTGGATGACATGGTTTGTCGAGCCTCCATTTTCTGCTGAATCAGACTGCGCATCTTGTCGCCTGGCAGTTGGCAGGCGGTCGGAAAGGCGTCGGCAAAGGTAAAGGCAAGCAAGCCGGTTGAGAACTCAGCCTCTGTTGCCGCTTGCAGTGTCAAGCCACGTTGCCGTCATGCGAGGTTGACAGCTACTGCGTTGACAGCTGATGTGGGTCTCCATATATGAACTAAGGCAAGCACAAGGGCAAGATGCCTTTGGCGAGCCCTGCTCCTGTACCCGCAGGACTGGATGCTCGCACATGCACATGACAAACCTATCCATGGAAAAGACCTAAGCTCGTTACCTGGCTCGGAGCAACGGACCAGTTTTTGCAGCTTGCTTCTCAAAGCACAGGACGACAGCTGAGAATTTGGACGGTCAGCCGCCTTAGTTTCCGCTGTCGTGTGCCAGCTTGGCAACTTGTGGTGGCACCTGTGGATCATCTCCTTGGCCAGGGCGTGGTGCCTGCCAGATTCAAGGTTGATTCTGAGGCTTGTTTCAGCTGCGGAGCTCCAGCATGCCGAGCAGTGTGCACAAAAGTGCAGGCAGTCGTGCCGCAGAAGCTCATGACAGCGACGCCAAAGATGCGAAGTATGGCGCAGTCCGGTTGCATTAGACTCTGGCATGCGCTGCTGGCAGCACTTGATCAGTAGGAAGACAAGCATAGATTGCTCACAGGAGAAAGCAGGTTTCAGCCCCAGATCTTCTTTGCTGCGAATGCGAAGCAATACAGAATACAACGGTTTCGGCACATTGCTCAGATGCTGCTCAAATCGAGCTCGAAGGTGCGCTCATCTTGTGGCACCGTGTCGATTGTAGGGCACCCTGCTTGCACGAGGCGGCCTCCATAGCAGTGGCGAGAAGCCTGCTTCCTCGAGCGGCGATGTCCAAAGCCGCCGCGAAAGCTCCCGGGAAGTTCATGCTGGTCCCGGCCAGGATCGTGGCAAAGCCAGGCCGTCTCGCCGCTGCGATGTCAAAGGCCTCTTCCCAGGCGACGTCAAAAGCGGCCGGTAAGCTTGCCAAGGCCTACCCGAAAGGCCAGGGCCCCACAAGGGGGTCTAAGGATGCATAAAGCAGACGTGGGCGTGTGAGTATTCCGAGGCCTGGCCGCAGCACAGCCAAAGGCCCAACTCTTTGTGGCTACGGCCATGTCCTTTAACAAGCCCTTCAGTGAGAGGTGCCGGGCGCCGGACGCCGTGTTGTGAAAGGCTTTTCGAAGGCTGGTGTTGCGACGTCCATGATCAAACACCATGGCACCCTGGTGCAGTGCTGTTCAGTCATGCGGCGATTTCGAATCAGCCACAAGCGTCAGGAATAGCGAGCAGGATCACAGCATGTGCAGCAGCTGACCGGGAAGACTTAGACTTAGACTTCCTGCATCTTCCTGCCCAACGACAGGCAGCTTCGGCGGCACGGTCTGGCTGGGCACCCAGCTCTGGGATGCCGGGGTCAAGAAGATGAGCCACTCGACGCCAAGGAAAGGTAACCATGTTTGCCGGGAAGGCGATCCAGCACGCCCTTTTTGGGCATCTGGTTCGAAGCAAAGCTGATCAGGCCTTCGCTCTTCCTCCATGGAGGGGTGGGGCCAAAAAAGTTGCCGCGAAGGTCAAGGCAAGACCGGCGGTCCGCGTTTGTGTCGTTTGCGCAACCCGAATCCAAATGGAGCGAGAGCACTGGCTTCTTCCCAGCTTTGTGGCTCCTTTCGTGCTCGCAAGATCTCGGCTCCGGCTCAAACAAGAGTGGCCATGCCTGTCGCAGTCTCTCGCGCCGGCATCTGTCTGGTGCTCGGCATCTTAAAAGATGTATCGGCGGGCCGCGTTTGGGTTTATGGGCGTCTGAAAAGGAATGCACTAGCATCAGCATCTCATCGTTTTTCATCCAAGGCCTGGCAACACAGCCTTGCGCATGCCGAGCGACGTAGCAGCTCCTTCGCCACGAATGGCCATGACTGCATCAGTAGTGCTTGGATGTTGTCGGTGTTGAGATGTTCCCAGCAGGGCCCAGCTGTTATCTTTATCCGACTAGTGTTTGGCAACAGAGGACAATCTAAGATCCCTTCACACAACGCATCTGTCACATCTGAGAAGGCATTTGGGTTCGAGATGAGGGATCCCACCTCTGCCTTCGTTGCGAATGTGTGCATGAAATCTTTAGAGTCAGATGGTGCTGCGGAGATATCTCCGCTTGTCCGTGAACTTTGTGCGTTTTTGGTGCGAGCCTCGGGACTACAGTCCAGTCTTGAAGCGTTCATGATTGAGCAGTGCGAAGAATTCCAAGATGCTAGCCTTACTGGAGAGCAGAAGCTGCATTGGACAGATCTACACAAGAGATATGTTGAGCTGGCTGAAGAGCAACTAGATGAATTTCTCCGGGAACGTGAAGCCACTGCAGACGAGTTGGCACAGACCTTGCAGGCATCGCTTGGCAAGTCGATGTGGTCTTTGCCGCTCCTGCAGAGCCTGGAGTACACAGCTTTCGCTGCACAGATGATTGCCCTATCCTCCGGACCACAGCTAAGAGCTGAGGCTGCTGCCTCCTCGGGTTTGCTTGGTGGAGTCTGGAAGCCAGAAAAGCCTGATCCACGGAGCCTGGAGCGATTTCTGAAAGCTCAGGGAGTGCCATGGATTCTGCGCCGCCTGCACGTCTTTGCCACGATCCGAGAGATCTGTGTGGTGGAGATGCCTGGCACGGTGCCGATCTTTACGATTTGGGAGTCTCGGAACCATGGCTTTGGCGTGTGCATGAGCCAGGTGATTGCCGATTCTGTTGAGCGTAATGATGGTTGCTTGAACACCAGAGCGTGGTTAGAGGATTCGGACTTGCACGTCGTGCAAAGCCCAGACGGCACAACTGGAGTCGAAACCACATATACTGTCTTGAATGATGGGAAGTCCTTGCACATTCGACGGGAGCTATGGGGCCCAAGCCGCGACAATCAGAGCTGCGTCTTCGCACAGGAATTCCTCAAATGCGAGCCTGGTAATAGTTTGAGCGAGGACAGTCATGCCTTCCAGAACGGTCTGAAAGTGGATCGTGAGAAGGCCAGCCCAGAGCGGGCTAATGCAGAGTCCCAGCACGTACCGGCTCCGGCAGAATCGCCTCCTGCCCGGCAGAGTCCTTATGCGAAGGTGCCCGCTCCACTGCTACCCTCTGCGCCTCCTGGGGCGCCATCCCGGCAACCTCTTGCGCGCCGGAGATTTCAGCGACCCATGGCTCCGACCGCGTAGAGGATGATGTCTGTTTTCCCACTACCAATGCTCCTGGACTGTTGTGCATGACTTCCGACTCGCTAGCGCACGAGCCAAGAATTCCAGGCCGTGCAAGGTCGTTTTGATGTGTTTCGACGGGTGTGAGCGCTGCATATTGTAACAGCCAGCGGAAGATTTCACACCACCTAGCATCTACGAGCTCAACTTCCACTCATCTCGGAATAGTCATCAGACAACTCGTATACTTCGCAGAAGGCAGCGACGCACGCCCTGCTTTTCAGGCATGCAACTTGCGAAGCAGTTGTATGGAGCCAGGACACGCCGTAGAATTCCTGCAGTCGTCAGATCCTGGACAAGTCCTAGCGTCAGCAAGGCTGATGGAGACCAAAACCAGCTCCAAGCTCGTCTTTCCTCTCCTGGGATAAGTCACAGCTTTCTGTGAGACAGTCGCCAGTGTCGTCCAAGGAGTGGAAGCTCTCCCTGCCGTGGACTAGGACTGCAAGTGCTGTCCTAAGACTTTCTTCACGGTGTGGATGCGTGGGATATGAAGAGCTCCGAGAGAGAATAAGAAAGAGAGATAAAGACGCATTACTTTTCCGTTTTGCAGGTGCTGCATCGGCTGAGCTGCTGAGCTGTCTGCGTAGTGTCTTGTTCCGTTCAGGCAGTCTGCAGAAGTCTGCAGCGAGATGTTACTCGTAGTTTATTGAGCAGCCGGGATTCCCCTGCGACAGTTCTCGGAAGAGCGGTGTGAAAGGGTTCTGCCAGTGTTCATGTTGCACCACCCGCAGTTCTGAAGTGTGGAAGTTGCAACAATCAGCAACCTGTCAGCGCCAGGCCAAGCCGAGCGACGAGGATAGACACTGTCGCCCGGGCTATGTGGCGGTATCTTGTACATGTTCGGACGTCTTGGAGACACATGTTTGACATGAGAAAGTGATGCAGGACGACTACGATCCGTTCTCGGAGGAGCCTGCTCCGCACGTTGCAATGGAGAAGGCTGGGAATGAGGGCACGTTCGCAAGTTCTCGATCATGCTTGTAAACGATTCGCGTCGTCGGCCTCGGGCTGAAAAGGCTGGTCGGGAAAGTTTGTCGGACTTCTACTCGAGATCCAGTGGATGATGTGAAATTTCACGATCGTGCACTGGGGTTTGGCGGGGAGGGCGGGATGGGGGCACTCCAGAGGGGGTGGATGAAGAGCCGGGAAACGGAGGTCCCTGTGCGAACCTGTGTCCGCTTCGGCCGGAACAATTCCTATGACCTGGCTGCTGTAAGACATGGCAGCCGATGTTGATGTTCAATGCCGTCGAACGACTTCATTTTACATTCAGAATTCCGGGGATTTTACTCTCTGTCAGAAGTGCTGCCTTTTTCGGAGCAAAGTCGTAGCAACACGTTCCCTTTGCGAACAGCTCCGGAAGGGTTTTGGTCCCCCATTCTGAAGCCTGAAGCTAGCACTCCGGAGTTGAGCTCGCCAAGGAGTTTCGGAAGGCCGCGCGCCGAGCGGCCCGGGGCTTAGCCAGGCAGACCAGGCCGAGGCATGCAAGTACTTAAAGGATCATTGGACTTAGTAACTGAGGTTATTATTAGGGTAACTATACTTATAACTACTTATAACCCCAATTAAGGTACTTAGAACCATACTTACTAAGTCCCATGATCCTCCAAGAAGTGAGCGCAGCTTGGAACCCCGAGGCGGCTGCGGCCGGCAAGCTTGACTCGGTGGAGTGGCGGCCGCAGGCTTCTGAACTCCATCGGTTTCGGTGCCGTCCTCTCGAAAAATGTTACACTGCTCTGTGATGCTGCAAATGGATGTGCCGAAAGCACTTGATGTCGAGCTTGATGGACGAGATAACCATCCCATCATGTCCCTTCGAAGACTGATGTCCAGTTCTTGTTCTACTTGAGCAGCTTTGAAGGACTACTTTGATAAGCACGGAACAGCCTGAGCCTCGCCCTTTCGCCATGGGCAAGAAACGCGTTGTGGCGACGCCTCGGCCCCCGAGCCGCGTCCTGGAAGTGCCAGGACTTCTCCCTCGAGCCCAGGCCGCCCAGGCCGCCACTCCGCCCCAGTCTTCGGAGTCCTTAAAGCGGCCGCCTGGAAAGAAGAAGAAGAAAGGCAAAGCAGGCTCATCGGACTTGCCCTCTGGCAAGGAGCCTGATGCTGGCGGTGCGCCCAGCAACGAGGCAGAGGCCACAAAAGGTGACTCTCCGGACGAGCGTCCGGCCCCACGTGTTTTGCAAATTCCTGGACAAGCGAACCGTGGATCAGAGAAGCGCCGCTTCATGTCCGACAAGGTTTCTAGCATCCGCTCAAAGCCACCAGCAGCAAAGCAGAAGGCGCGCAAGGGCAAGAGCACCCCGGACCAGGAGGACTCAGCAGAATTCAAGAAAGCCTTGAAAGATGTCTTGAATTTCGTGATGCCACAGCTCGGAAAGTCCGAGCGAATTCAATATGAAAAGGCAAAGATCCGCGCTCTTGGTGGTACACCAGACAAGCCAATATATGAGCCGTATGCCTCTCTTCAGCGGAGGAAGAAGGCTGAGGAGGCCGCACGACAGCGGAGGCTCGCGGAAGAGAAGTTACTCGGCGTTTCACTGTCCGCCACGCAGCAACGCCGAGGAGCGTCTGCGGATGGTGTTGCCAAGCGAAAGAAGGAAGCACTCTTGGCCAAGAAACGCCGCAAAGAGAACGACATCCTGGGTGTGGGGGCGAAGGAAAGTAAAGGTATGGTGATCATTCCAAAGAACAAGGCGAAATCCTATGCCTAGCGACAATGCAGCGACCCAGTGTTGGTCCCCAAGACATCGTTCATTGATGCTGACCTTCCTCATGGTGACCCAATCTGAAGGTGCACGCCGAGTTCGCCGGCGGAATGGTTAGGTGCAGGGCAAATGCCAGCATCCCAGAACTCCCAAGAAGTGGCTTCCACAGAAGGACAGCATCCGTCTGACTCGCAGAAAAAGGATACAGCGATCTCATGTGCACAAAAAACAGACGGCAGATTCGGTGCAGACCGCACCGGGCAGGGAGATCCCATCCTCGGGGTGGTCAGGCCACCGCCGAGGCGTCAGGCAGGGAAAGGGGTGGAGAAGTGCAGACTCGTGATTCCAGCACAGAAAATACGGAGCAGACGTGAGCCTTACCTGCCGAGGGCTCGAACGGCGTGGCGCCCGCACAAGCCAAGCGCCGCGCCGTGCCGCGCACTGCCATCGCCTGGCTGAGACGGCTCAGTGTGCAGAACGAAGGCCAGGGCTAGGCCTTTACCTGGTGCGAGGATGTCCGGAGCTCTGAATTCGCAGGTGCTGCCACAGCCGAGGACAATTCACGTTTTGCTTCACTGTTGCATGTGGTAGCCGTGACTGTAGGCGCTTGCTTGAAGTTCGGACGTCGAGGAAATGCCGGAAATATGTGCTGTGAGGAATACTTCCGCAAAGAAGAGATGCAGCCTGCCAAGAAGCAGAAGATCGATGCTGTCAACAGAGGCACATCCCAGCCGTGAGCTGTTGCAGCGAGCCGAGTTCTCGCTTGATGCAGTTTCTGGCAGGCTTTGTCAAAGAGCTTCTTGACAAGGCAAAGGGTTTCGATCCTCAGGCGTCTGTGTGATAGCATCAGGCCAGTGTAAGGAAGTGGAAGTCGTGTGCTAGAGCCTGCCATCATGTCAGACGCCATCGACCCTGCAAACGCTGGTGGCCCAGTATGTCGCATGCAGACACGGGTCGTAGAGGCTTCAGCCGAAATCTTACGTGACAGGTTTGGGCCTATGATTCATTGTAACATCTGAAGCTTGGTCGGGTGCTTTCACCGCCAGAAGTTCTTCTGATGTGCTGAGGTGTAGAAGTCTGCTGGTTTTCTTAGAGAAGAAGCTGGAGGACGCCGTGATGTCTTCGTGATGATAGTGTGTCTCAAGAATGTGCCAGCAGACTCTGCACTAGAGAGGTTCTTCTTGGGGCCACACACGCACCTAAGTTACAGCACGCCTTTCTGCAGGGTTTTCCGGTTTGGAGGCTCATCAACTTCACGAATGATGTCAGCTAGCCCGTCTTGCTCGCCGCAAGAAAGAGACGAGGGAAGGGGGGGCGGGTGGGGGGGAGGGCTGATTCGTTCTGGTGCTGCCAACTTTTTCTGAAAAATGGGCTCTGAATCCACGCCTGCCCGCAAAAGTCAAGACAGTCCTAGGTAGGGGTTTTGGGAAGCCAGGATTATATGGAAAATTGGGCTCTGGACGCATGCCTGCCAGCAAAAGTCAAGACGATATATGCCTCTAAGAGTCTGAGAATGATATTCAGGAGCCACGTAGAGAAAACATGCCACACCCTAAGTTTCAAGGCTACGTGGTTCCTGAATGTCATTTTCACATGCATATCTGCACTGTCTTGACTTTTGCTGGCAGGCGTGCGTTGAGAGCCCATTCCAGATAATCCTGGCTTCCGAAAACCCCTGCAATAACTTATCAACGTGTGACTTCTTAGGACTCTCATACGAAGGTGCTAAGCCGGAATCTTTCACCTCTCGGCAGCACACGTAGCGCGTGAGCGCTGCGGCTTTCCGATGCCACAATGCTGCAGAGTCCGAAGCAGTCAGAGGAAGGGGCATGGGATATTGTTAGCTGGTTATCCATTTGAGAACCTTTTGCTAATTTGCTTCTATTCATTACCACTGCTATTGCAGCAAGTATGTTACTGCATACAGCGGGTGTGTTATGGACCTGTACCTCGACTTATCGTGTTTGCGACATTTCTGGAGTCAGCAGCTCTGGCCAGCAGGCGTCGTTGCCCGCGCCACCAGCCGTCGGTGGGCCCGAGGCCAGTCACTTGGGTTCGGGATCGCGGGCCACGGGTGTCGGGGGGCTGACTCAGCAGTGCAGGAGACAGGGTGATGTGATTGATATGGTCGCGGGGGCAGCGCGATCCATCAGGAGTCTCGTTAGTTCGAGGGATCCTATGGTGGGAGTGTAGCTTGTGACTCTCCTTACAACTGCTATCGCTATCCCGAACCTCGAAGTCCTCAACCCGCAACCGTAAGAACCAAAGGGTGTCTTCGTTTCAGTGCCTCAATGTCAGGGCCTCCGGCCGCGTTTGGCGACTCATGCGGAAAGCCTGGGTCGTGCGCCGTCGAGTGTGGGCATGTAGGCAAACGACGCCATCACAATAATGACTATTTGGAAGAAAACATCAGCAAGAAGAGCAGCCAGAGTGATGAAGCACTCCTCATCATAAGCCAAGTGCAAGCACCATCTGGCATGCTCCTGCGAGGTATGGAGACTTTGAGGGCGCCCAGTGGCTGGGATGCTCGAGCTAAGCGTGTGCCTGCTGGGACGGGCTCCTCAGGAAGTTGACGATCGAGCTTGACTCAAGATCTGCAACAGCAATTCAACATCAATCTGGTTTGGGCAACGATCGACTCTTCCACTTCCCCATTCCTAACGTGATTGATCTCCTCGCTGGAGAAAGCCAGGTGCTTGACATTGCGGCCATTGCAGCCTCTGCTCCTGGAGAGGTTTCGGCAGCGGTCTAGAGGAACTCGAGTCTGAGTCGGCAAGACCGTGTGGAGGCGGCCCTGGCGGCCCTGCAGGAGGCACTGCAGAAGGCGGGCCTTGCGTCCGGATTCTGGCCGCCCGTCCGTCCGTCCTTGAACTTGACAGCTGCGATACAGAAGCTTGAAAGTCTGGCCGCTAGGAGTCACAGGAGCTTCAGGAAAAGCTCAAGGACCGGGCCATACTCTGCCTCTCCCCTGTCTGAAGCCGGAGACTACGTAGAGGATCTCAAGACTTAGATGGGATCTTTTTGAGGAGTCTTCAGAAACGTTGGAGAACGTCTTGACGGAGCGGCGGGCGTGGGCCAAGGACGTCCAAGTGCTTTGATGGTGGGGGTTTCATCAGTATGACCATTCCTCGAGCGACTGCAGCTGCCAATCTTGTCACCATTCTCGCAAGGCTTGCTGCCGTTGCTACTGCCGCCGCACCACCACCATCACCATCAAAACCACCACCACCACCACCACCACCACCACCACCACCACCACCACCACGCAAGCACAATGAGGGTTGCCGCGCAGCTCTACGTCGATTTCTGAAGAGCAGCAAACAACTGTAAAAGAACAAATTAGAGCACAGGGCTGGTTTCGACTGCCAAAAAATGGCAGCAGACATCTGCGACAACGTATTTTGCAAAGCGCAACAATGTTTCAGTCACTACCGGAGCTTGAATGATGCTGGTGCTCATAGTGGTGGTGAGAAGAATAACGAGGATGAGGACCATGAGTTGAATGGCTATGGTCTATGGTGGGTCACGATGACCCCAAGATGAGCCTGTCATGATCATGGTGATTGAATATTCACTTTTGTTCATGCCCCTAGTGGGTTTGAGTTGGTGATGGTGATCGTGGCGATAGCGCAGTTTTTTTCGTTCTCGTCCTGTAGCAATGATTGTGGTCACGGTTGTACTGTGTTGGCATGATGTTACTGCGGATGTGGTTGGTAATTGTGGTAGTGGCGCCGCCGTCAGACGTCTGATGGTTGTGGTTGTTGAGGCAGCATTGGCATGGGCAGCAGTGGTGGTGGTGGTGGTGGTGATGATGATTGCAGTGGCCGTGGCGACTGTTGTCCGATGGTGTCCTTGCCGTTGCTCCTCATGCGCATGTAGCTGAACAACGGCTGTTGCCCGCTGGTTTTTGATTTGTTGTCAGATGTGGCGCAACTTACATGTGCCCTCTCCCTGTTGACCTTGGGAAGTGCATGGAGCGGCCTTTGTATCTCGTGCAGGACGCAGTGAGGCGAGATTGGCTTACCTGGTGCGAAAGGCTGCTCAAAGCCGGGTTCACAGATCTGAGTGTACTGAAGCATCCTTGGAAGCGGCCATTCGAGATCCAGAGCTCAGTCCCTTGTGAGGGTGCTCGGGATTTGACGGGGCCAAACCTGAACAGCTGTCATGCACTGCTGGCATCAGACAGATGTGATCACTCTGAGCGGAGATACCTCAAACTGTTTCGGGCATGTACCTGCATCCAGCTCATGGCAAATGCATGCAAATGCAAGTAGAGAGTTCTCCAGAGGTGTTGGTGTGTCAGGTTAGTTGTCGCGGTGCGAAGATGCAGCCAGGGCAAAAACACACGTTTCGTAGCTTGGCTAGCGCCAGAGCCCCGCGCTGGCTGGTGAGCTAAGCCAGCCCCAAGTAGCACTGCGACTGGCTACTTCTCCAGCATACGGACGACTGCTCGGCGTCCAGTTCACCCGCTCGGCTATGGCCCGTCGCATGCAATGGTTATCTGAGTTGTGAGAATGTGCGTCGATCTCACGGTCGCCCCCGGAGTGCATTCCAAGTCTGCTTGTTGACTCCATTTTGCCGAGGCTCGGGAGGCAAAGCTCCTTGCAGAGCTTGGCGAGAAGGTCATAAATCGGAATTGTCAAGCGCTGTGAATACACTGTGACTGGCTCTTCTCTGCACCAGGAAGAGACAGCAGAGACCTTGAACACCGGCGTGGACATCCTTGAGGTGCTTAGCGATGTGTTTCTTGTGAGAATCCTGAGACGGCCTAGGGCCTGGATCGTACCAGGCGTTAGTGGCCGGCACCACTGCCTGACGTCGCGTCGATGCTGCAGCGGCAGATATCTCCAAGAAAAGACTCATCTGGGCATTTGTCTGCGAAAGTCCATGTCCTGGCAATGCAGAGAGAGCGAAACAGAGAGAGATTTAGAGTGACTAGGCTGCAGTAACCACAACGCCACGAACTCCCGGCAGCGTCCTTTAGCACTGGCAGGATGAACACCTTGGAAAGTTTTGAGACATGTTTCGCCATTCATTCAGAAACTCTAGCATCCCAACCTGACTGTGCACCTCGCACGCAGTTGTCCAAAGCCTGTTGAACCCACCGATAGCTCAGCAGCACGTTAATCGTTAACAAACCACTGCTTGTTGCCTCCATGGGCGGCTGCGATGGCCAAGTGCCTGGTTTTGCTGTCGCTTGGTTGGGACACGTCTGTGCCGTTACGGCGGATCTCTGAGGCGGCTTTTGCGCCAGGCAGAATTCCCCTTCCGCCGGGTTTGGAGGAGGCGGCCTGTGGATGTGAGAAGCAAGGTGTTTGGGGCTAGGCCTTTTCCGAAATCCTGCAGGCATCCGAAGGTGCAGGGAAAGGTGCAGGGAAGCAGTCGCAGGTGCGTCACACCAGCGTTTGGCTACCAGTGGTCCACAGCTTCTTTTACTCAGGCGATGCAGCCGGCTAGCAAGTCTGCCGCGCGCAGGCCAACTCCTGGGACGAAGGACCTCCTGTGCGTTGACGGCTGCAAGAAACCTGCAGGACTGTCGCACGTGCGAAGGATGACTCTTCAGGTCAGGGACGCTGCCTGCACAGTACTGTAGTGCGTTTGGGCTTGTCCCAGGTCAAGACCCGTGGTCGCAATACAAGGCCAATGACGGGGATCCCTGGGACGCAGGAGGTGCCTGCAAGTCCAGGGTTTCTTCTGTCTCCTTGGCTTGCGGGGTGTGCCAGAGGATCAGGTGACCCATGGTCCAAGAAGGGCGAGTCAGGCAAGGTTTCGGGCAAGCACCAGTTCTACGAGTCTGTCGGCCATCTGTAGGTAGCTATGCCGGCAGCGATCCATGGGATGCAGGCCAGGCAAGGGACCGGAGGCCCAGGCTCCAACGGGTGGGTGAGTCGTAATTGCAGTTTTGTGCTGACGAAGGTGACCCGTGGAGCAAGTCTGCAGGAGGTTGCTGGGTTGCTCACGTGTCTGGGACTGTCGACACATTCCTCACCTGGAGGAGATGGCTACATCAAGTCGAACACCAGAAGTTTGAATGGCTCCAGGACCCATCTGTCGGGAATGCAAGGTTCCGATGCCCAAAGCACCGTTCATTCGGGGTGGTCTAAAATCGAAGGGAGGAACCCTCGATGTTCACAGAGGATGCTGAACTCTGCCATGCAGCAGATCCGCGAGCAGCCAGCTCCTCCTCCAGCTCCAGGCAAGTGGACATGTTGGAGCGTTTCAGAGGCTACAGTAGGTCCGGTGTCAAGAACCAAGTGCAGCACGCCAGCACAAGGGGCAAGGATGCCAAGTTGTACCAGCTTTGAAACACGTGAGTGCGCTTGATTGGTCTGTTTTCATGTCCTGTCATCTGGTGGAGGCAAGAGCAATGGCAGCACCAAACCCGCCGAAGCACAAGAGCCCACTGTGCGCAGTCCTGAGTCCTTAGCAGCAAGGGATTGCTGGCCGAAGCAGTATCAGCGTCTGCAGCCAGTGTTTCGAGAGCTGCGCAGGAAAGAGGACAACCGGTTGGAGGGTGAGGCCACTGCAAAGATCGTCGTCCAGCTAGAGGACAGAGCTGCTGCCTCCGCTGCTGCTCCTACCTACTACCACAACTACGACGATGACGGCGGCGGCGACGATGACGATGACGAGGACGACGACGACGACGATTACTACTGCT